GAATAAAATATAGTTACATATTGCATCATTAACTTAGGACGGGCGTACAGAGATTTATATCTTGCAAAGTTTCTTTTACACGATTCCTATTATATTTTGTTCCAATATATCATTTGTAATAAACGTGTTTTATGATAAGAAGAGTAATAAACGTACTTTGAAAAATAACAAATGTACAGGGTTATAAATACAAAATCAAAAAACATTAATTTTGTTTTTACGATTCGTTTGTACTTAAACAAAGCAAGGAAAAAAATTATAAACTGCAAAGTTCAAAATCACTCTGTTTGAATGGAGCTTAGGGAACTGGATGTTTTGCATGCTAACGAGGATATTTAAATGTTAAAATGCAATTGTCTTTGGTTCCGCATCTGACGTTTGGTTTGACAAATGACTTCAGACAAAACTGTCTGGCAAAAAATACATTTTTACAGTTAAATTTGAATTTTTTTTTTGTTCTTTAGCTACAATGTCACTCTGTCTGTTTATTTTCAAATATGGTATAAAAACTAAAATTACGTGTTTTTTTATTTATTTTTTTATTTTATTTTTACTCAAGATCAAGCAAAATTAGAACTATGTCTAATAAGATAAAGTACTTTAATTTGAGGCTACTAAAATATCAAACACTAAATCGTAAAAATATATGTTTTGTTTCCAGTTTGATCATTTGCTCATTGAAGAAAATTGTTTTGGTATCTATCTTGCAAACGAACGATTAAGTAGCCAAACTGAACATTTGACCATAGTCATTACCTTTGCATAAAAAGAATGTTTCAGAGCGGGCTTGGCCTAGCCTGGAAAATAATAATAATTCTGAAGTATTAGAATAATAAACATATATTTTTTATTTCTATTTTTTATATATTTTTTTATATTTTTATCGATTTTTTTCTCTCATTTACCCTGTGTTTTAGATGCAAAGGTTATATGACAATACTTCATTTAAAATGTATCCTCACATACTACATTTGGACAATACATAAATAGCAAGTCAATATCTTTAATTGGTTATTATCCAACAAAATGTTCACGGTCAATATGTCAGGATTTTACCGGTCAATAGACCGCGATGAACACAACACTAAAAGGATAACAACACGTTTATTGCCATTGTCTGACGACGATTGATTTATCATGTCAGTTCATGGTTGGTTCTGAAAATCAAAATGTCTGCAATTAATTGTTTATACTTTTTAAAAGCAACATCTTAATAAAAAGATTTCTGTCCTCCTTCCAGTGCTACACTCTATCTTAAATATCGAACTGCATTTTATATAATAGCATTACGAAATGAATGGGTAACTACGCAAAAAGAGTAAATAGGTATCTATTAAATTTCGTCCTATGGGAAATATGTGTAAAGGTCAAAACAAGCACTATTTTATTATAAAAGAAGTGGGCGACTCCCCTATTGAACGTATAATGCAACAGAATTTTTGTTTCTTTTTATAGAAAGAACGAACATGAGTTATAATAAATTTAGATATGTCCGCAGGGCTTGTTAGATGTTTGTTAACTGAACATGAAAGAATTTTGGTATTGAAAGTTGCAAGTTGTACGGTAGTATTTTTACATCTATACAAAATACTAAGTCACCATATTGTGCTTATTGCGAAATGCAACATAACAAAGGGATAGTTCAGGTAATTGTCTAGCTGCAGTGAGCAACATTTTGGAAACTAAGAGGCAAAATGAAAAGCTTTTGAAAAATAAAAGTATTTCTGAGGCCTAATATGCCTTTCATTCTTGTATAATTTATCCATTAATTGAATAAAATAAATGTTGTGAATATATAAACTAATATTTGTCTATTGATATTTTCAAAACTTTTTGAAAACTGTTCTTTGATTAATCATATTTTCATGTCAATAGAAAAACATTCTGTTTGTTCAGTAAATGGAATTTCCTTGTTAAACGCTAGGTTATTAATTAATTATTATAAATGATTGTTTGCTCATAATTAATCAATTAGTAAGTATTAGTAAATCAAATAAAAGTTTCAATAAATAATGAATTACTCACTTTCCTAATTAACTGTGGTACAAGCTACAAACCAGGCTGGAATGTAGGAACCTTTTTCTTTGATAACGTTTATGCATACTGTCAAGTCAACCTTCTTGAATGGTAGTACAGATTTTATATGATGAAACATCAAGGTGAACAAAAGGCTAGATATACAAAAGCACATACTAATTACTACTACTCCCGTTGCCTAAAGTCTATTACAAGATACTAGGTTAATGACTAAGATGTAAATCTGATACAAGAACATCATAACAAAATGCTTTAAATGATATTGCATACGCATCAAAGACGGAAATGGCTACAAAAATAAGCAGAAGGCAAACAATGTTATTAAAAACTAAAAAATTCTTATATTGATAAATATTACAATCTCAAAAAACACTGGTGAAAGATAAACATTATAAAGATGATGTAGTTTATTCAAAACTTGTATTTTTTGTAGTGTATATACTGATGTTGAAGTTTATTTATGGCAAAACAGAGTCGTCAAAATTGTTTATCTTTTTTGTATGTTTTATTTATTTATTTATTTATTTACTGATTTATTATTTATTGTTGTATTTTTTACTCCTTCTTTATCTTCTTCTCCTTCTTTTCTCCTTCTTCTTCTTCTTCTTCTCTTTCTTTTCTTCTTTTTCTTCTTCTTCTTCTTCACATTTAATCGACAACACAATAACATGTGATATTGAACCAGTTACGCAATGTATTTATTTTAACTGTCAGTACATTTTGCATTCAATACATACACTTTAATGATTGCATGACTTAATCTCCTAGAACATACGTCATTCTCTAGACGCAGGAAAGTTACGTAAAAGAGCCGGAAGTGTCCATTAGTTATACCTCGTGAAGACACATCATTTAAAGGGCATTCCTGCAACGGATGCAGACAGTCTGCAAATGTGTGCTCTAACACATCGTAATTATTCGTCTTTCAGTGACACATGTCAGCGGTCCGGAAATGAACTCGTCTCGTCCTAAAAGACAATAATTAGTGCTATGTAGCCATAACTTAAATGTGTCTGTGTAGATACTGAAAGGGAAGTCTGACAAATGTCTTCTTGTCTGTGGCTTTTATGAGTCAAGCTTAAACTTAAACATAATGTTCTATGAGTTTCTTTACATTTACAGGCCCGTATCTTGTTAGAATTTTATTTATTATGAAATAAAAGTTATATTAAGAATAATGTGTCATATCAAGGTAATTTATGGATAGATAAATTAAATATGTTTTGTTTCGCGGGTATTACGAGTATATTAAGAAACATCTACCGTAGTGCATTTAAATATTTAACTGTTCATGAACATGTAATGTAGTTTTATGCATAATCACAAAAATGGGTTAAAAGTGTATAAAAAGCAAATGAATTTTGGCGGGAAATTTTTAAAGATGTGATAGTTTAATAGCTTCACTCGTAGTTGATCACCCAGCTTATATATAATTAATGCATTTTATTTAACAATTTGACGTCAGTTGATAATATTAAAGCCACTGACCTCCAGATGGTAAAATGAAAAGAAATAAAATAAAATTTCAAGTAAATGGTAAATACTGATCTAGTTAGGTTTATTGTATAAATCCATCATTACTGACATTCAAGAAAGAATGTTGACAAAAGCGTTATTTATTGGGGTTTCTTTTCCATAATCTACTACGTTACTAACGCAGTAGCCAATATAAATAGGAGTAAGGCGGTCATGTGTCACAACAGTGATCCGGAAAAATCCCGGTATCCGGTATGCCCGGGATCGTTTATCAATTTTTGTCATTAAGTAGGCCCCTATCACATTTCAAGCTAAAGGTTAAATCGATAAATTGGTCATCATATGTATGAAATAATTAATCAATTATAATTTTAGTGCCATGAATTACTACAAATATAAAAACAAAAGCAGTTATTCGTATCCCTATATGTTTCATAAAATCCCGGATTCCGTGCGTTCCGGAGCACAGGTCGCGATATTGTCCTGTACGATCACGTGATACTAGAAAATTAACCGGATGAAAGAATTCCGTGGAATAATAAAAGAAGGTATTTCCCGTTGGTGGAAAAGCGAACTTTTTTTCCCAGAGCAATAATGTTAAAATATGAACATTTTGAAGTGTCATTTCGATTTCTTTCAACTATATAATGTTTTTGAGGGGGGACTTTGAAATATTAGCAAGACGGCAGTTTTTCTGCTATATTCTGGAGGTCAGCTGCTTTAAGGCGCGTTTCAATTTTCTAGTGAGAGTTTATGGTCGAAGAGATATTATGATTAAAGACAAATATTGTCTTTAATATACATTGTATATACAAAAATAACGCAGTTGTTACAATCTTACAAGTTTTATCATAGAATTATATTGTGAAAGGGAAACAATCCGCGTTATTTTGAAAATACAGATTGTCAGAGTTAAGCCTATTTCTTGATGGGTATTTTGTCTTGCGTGGGTTTCCTATACAGAAAACATGGTAGTATCACAATGTCCGTAGCTAACGATAACACAGAAACCTGGAATGATGTATTACTTAAACAAAGATATAAATTTAGTTTAAAAAATGCATCTCCATACTTTGAAAGAGCCCGTTACCATTAGCTACGCATTGTATTTTTCTTATGCTGTGGACTTTTTTGTATTTTTGAATAGTTGGTCAAATCGGGTCAGTCGTTTAACTTTTAATCTAAAATGGAAGGTTTTAATGTGTCTTTTTTATTTCAGTAGTCTGTCACGGCATTGGTAACATTTCAATTATTGTAATATTTTTTAGCGCTGGCCAAGCCATTTAGTCACCTGATAAATATGAAAACACGCGAACCTGCCGAAATGAAACTCTACGAGTCGCCTACCCCGCCCACACACATACACGTACAAGTGAAGAACTTAATGTGTGATATAAAACCAAAAGTTTTGATGCGCCAGGACTTGAAATATTTGGTTACACATTGCATTGTAACTTCCGGGGTTATAAATTAACAATTTGAAACTTAATCATTAATTTAATATTTCGAATACAAGATGATATTTTGATAATAAAAATGACAAAGACATTGTTTAAGATTTGTACATCAGGTAAAGATTCATTGCACAGCTATTCACAAATTCATTTATTGTTTGTCTAGACAGAAGAGCAAACAACATTTGACCTAAACACGAAGTTCATCTTTAATTTTGTAGTGTGTTATACACATGAACATCTGTCATGCTTTCTTCTACAGACTGGTATGCGTCATTAGTAGGATTTTCGTAGTTGTGAATTTCTGTTGTTCGTTCTCTTTCCGCTACAGACTGGTTTGCGTCATTAGTAGGATTTTCGTAGTTGTGAATTTCTGCTGTTCGTTCTCTTTCCGCTACAGACTGGTTTGCGTCATCATAAGGCGTTTCGTAGTAGTGAAGCTCTGCTGCTCGTTCTCTTTCTTCAACAGACTGGCTCGCATCATTAGTAGGATTTTCGTAGTTGTGAATTTCTGTTGTTCGTTCTCTTTCCGCTACAGACTGGTTTGCGTCATTAGTAGGATTTTCGTAGTTGTGAATTTCTGTTGTTCGTTCTCTTTCCGCTACAGACTGGTTTGCGTCATCAGAAGGCGTTTCGTAGTAGTGAAGCTCTGCTGTTCGTTCTCTTTCTTCAACAGACTGGCTCGCATCATTAGTAGGATTTTCGTAGTTGTGAATCTCTGTTGTTCGTTCTCTTTCCGCTACAGACTGGTTTGCGTCATTAGTAGGATTTTCGTAGTTGTGAATCTCTGTTGTTCGTTCTCTTTCCGCTACAGACTGGTTTGCATCATCATTAGGCGTTTCGTAGTAGTGAAGCTCTGTTGTTCGTTCTCTTTCTTCAACGGACTGGTTCGCGTCATTAGTAGGCATTTCGTAGCTGTGTATATCGGTTGTTCCTTCTTGCAAAGACTCGTATGCTCCTTCTCTTGTTTGCACTCCGTTATCATAGTCAAGATCTGTCGGAATATTCTCATTTGCGTACAGTGCTGTCGAGTATGCGGGGGATAAGTAATTTCCATCGCTTGATGCACTATGATCCGTCCTGTAAATAAATAATATGTATTTACGAATGTGCACGTTTTATATGTTATTTTCTTGAAGTAAAGAAATTATATATAGGTTGATACATTAATAGTTTTTGGCCTGAAAACGGAAAATATTATTGCCAAACAAACAGTCGGGGGGATTTTAAGTTTTCTTGTTTCCGGACCAAAACTGTTCATTCATCAAATATTCGTTTTTTTTCCCTTAACTCCCTAAACAATCTATTTAATTAGATCATCGTATGACACTTGTTATATGCAATAATTATAGTAACTAGAAAATTATAAAATGGCTTTGCTTACATACACGTTTTCCTACATAACAATTCTGTATTACCACATATACATGTATGTCATATATATCAAGAAGATGAAAGCAAAATACATTTATCATAATATGCTTATCAGTAAAATACTTTACTATTCGCCAGTGAAATAAATTTTAGTAGTCACTGTTTATCGTAAATCACTCGATTCTTCTTGTTTTCCTTTCATATATCAAAGATTATGAGATTATGGTTGTTGTAGTAAATATGCAGTGTAGTTTGTTAGGAAACATATAGAGGATATTGAATGTTTCTAGGTTTTAATACTAAATTTATTGAACGAGTTGAATAAAATCATATTATGCGAGACTCTAGCGAGCATAATATTGTTTTATTCAACAAGTTCAATAAATTTAGTATTGAATCTAGTACACGAATATAATATTCTATTTATCACATATATAAAATAAGTACGATAAACTCTTAACAAGAGTCATTTTTATTTGACGCGCCTATAGAGTAACGCTAACATTAGCGCGCTTTAACGCTATGTTTATAGCACAAATGACGTCACGTAAAAGTGTTATTACACTAGTGTAATATCGTCTAGTGTTATATCGTTTTTATTTAATGGCTTTATTACACTCCTGCGCCGCTGTTTATGTGATAAAAACGTTTCAGCACATTAAAAGCTAATATTTGAAAATGCATTATGAATGGTAATGGTTCGATATAACTATCATTTGGAGATATAAAAATTGCAACATTTTTTTTTCAAGTTACATATTTTTCGGCAATTTTCTCTTCTTTCTTCTCCACAACAGAAACACCAACGCCAATAGTATTACGGCAACAGCTACAAGTGAACCACCAACAACACCAGCCACGGGAAAATGAACAGCGTCTTTACTGTTGTTGAGTTTCGCTGAATAAAAAAAGATCATGTTTATTACACTAAAATAAGTAAAAACGTTTAACCAAACCATTTAGGTTAATTTAAGATTGTTAACTGTTTTGAATTATTGTATACTGTGTTAAAGGAACTTCATTGACGTCCCGTTACATAAAAAATAAAATTAAAAATTCTTGCTTACATGTAGATAAATTTCGGCACTAAAATGAAAGATATGAAAAATATAAAATACTCTGATATAAATTGCAAAATGTATTTAGTGCTATTTTCAGCCCGATTTAAGTGAAAATCGTTGCAACGCTTTTCAAGTTTGCCTCATTACTCACAATTATAGAATAAATGTTTTAGAATAACGAAGTGAACTTTTGCACACAAGTTATTTGTCTAGACATTCGTCACAATAATATCGAAAAATAATGTCATTGAAAAATAATGTCAAGTCAAGTAAAAAAACTCAGTGGAGTCCCTTTAACACTGACGTACATATAGGAGGTTAGAATCACGACCACAATCAGTCATCATATAGGAAAGATTCATAAAAGGGTTCAGATCCACTGTACACATGAAGAAGTGTCTTTTTCGGGTACGATAATTTCAAGTTAAGATACGTTTAAATCTAGAACAGTTTCAATAAACGTACACCATCAGAAAATTATGTTTTAAATTATATATGATTTTTAATCAAATATCACGACCAATTGTATCTTAAGGTATAGAGGTCCATGATGGAACAGGAAGGTCAATAACAATTAAATGTTATTAGTATTTAATAGTATTATACACACGTAAAAACAAACTACGAAATAATTCTAAATGGATGTGGTTGGCAAGTTTGAGTTAACATGATCCGATATGACATATTCATATATTATAGCATAGTAAATCGTTTTAGAACAAAAGACGATTGCTGTCCATGTTACTAAATCACTTAGGATGCTATAAAGGTACCGGTACAGTACAGAATGTCGGTGGTTTTACTAACGGATTGGGCACATCAGGTAAACATCTACCAGTATTTTTTTAGGCGAAAAGTCATCATTGTCGGTCAGACTCGACGTCACTGAAATTGCCAAATTAAGATCATGTTCGGCCGAAATAAAAAGCTATTTTCTGAGATCATTTATTTTTCCATTTTATGTCAATTCATGCAATAAGCGTTGCACGATACCTTTACCTGTTAGGATACACGTTTGAACCTTTTTATAAATAAATTTGTTTGCACAATGTCAAGCATACCTTTCATTTCACATTTCGATGTGTCCTTGTACCCGGCTTCACAGCCACCACTGCACTCGCCATTTCTAGTATTACATGTTCCAGATAAACAGTGTCCGCACACTTTCACACAATTCTTACCCCAAAATCCAGCATCACATTCTTAAAATAGCACAAAATAATAAAACAGTGTCCGTTAATTGCAATAATGTACACATAATATTATATGCTAGTCAGACGAATATTAATACCTATGGTCCAGGTTTATCTGATATTCACCGATGTCGAATATCCAAATATTTGGACCTGGCTTATTTTGATATTTACCATGGCTGAATATCTAAATATATGGGCCATGTTAATATGATATTCACTAAAGCGGAATATCTGAATCTATGCACCAAGCTTATATGATATTCACCTAGGCTGAATATCCAAATATATGGACTTGACTAATTTGATATTCAAAATGCTGAATATCCAAATAGATGGAGCAGGCTAATATGATATTCACCAAGGCTAAGTATCCAAATCTATGGACCTGGCTATTTCATGTATTAAGATTTTTACCAAGGCTTAGTATTTAAATCTATGAACCAGGCTAATACATGTAATATGATATTCGCAAAGGCTGAATATCCAATTATATGGACCAGGCTAATGTGATATTCGCTAAGGCTGAGAATCCAAATCTATAAACATGGCTAACTTGATATTTCATCGAGGCCGTATATCCAAATTTGTGGACCTGGCTATTGTGATATTAACCAAGGGCGAATTTCTAAATCTATGGACCTTTGATAAGGTATTTATCCTGGTCGATTATCAAGATCTATAATGATTTAAATGTTACCTTCATCACATCGCGGTCCTTTCCAGCCAGTCAAACAACCATCAAGACACGATCCAATAATATGATGACAGTCTGAGAAAACACTTGCACAATTTCCGCTACATGTGGACGAGCAGTTGAATCCATAGGATCCACTCGGGCACTCTGTAGAAAAAAAAATACTTAAAATAATAGTAATAATGTATCCGTATCGTTGACTATACAAAAAGATTTTCGAATGGTATAATATGAATGTGCTATTTTTTTTTCTTTTCATTTCTGTTCACATGAAAAGGCTTGTCCGCATTATATTTCAAAATTATTTCAGAATTTAATTATTCAAATAACGTGGTAGACATAAAATAATATGTCATTATTCGTGGAATACAAATTTTCGTGGTTTTCGTGATAAGCCAATCAACGAATTTAAGATTCAACGGAATGTTGTGTCGTTCGCTATATGATTATATATTTATCCATAGATTTAAGAGACATACAAATGTTTTGACCTTCGTGTAATAGTTACCCTACGAGGAATAGGTCTGCATAGTATTTACAGACCCGGGTGGCGTTTTGAAGACCGAGAGAGCGTAGCGATCGAGGTTTTTAAAAGGCCACCGGGTGTGTAAACACTATGCAGACCTATTCCGAGTGCGGTAACTATCTTTCCTACATGCTCTTTAGTTTTTTCTACCCAAACATCAGTTAATAACTCAATATTTATCAATATAAATCACAAGAAACCTTTGATTTATGTACATTATCATGTATAAGAATGCATTCCGAAGCCATTCAAATATACCAACCGCTACGCTCTTGTTATTCATTAGGCGTCATACTGTCCAGAAATTGACACAAGATGGGCATACGAATATGAAAATTTTAATTTCGTGCGAAGATAGCCCCGAAATTGGTCGACAGTCTCTCAACAGCCGAAACAAGTACGATTCCTACAGAAGGTCACGCGATCGCATCCGAGTCACACACGATTCCTACCGAAGGTCACGCGATCGCATCCGATACACACACGAAGTCACTTCAAAGATGCAATTTTGTACCAAGTAGTTTACCAGCAGGACACGCGAAGGTCACAAGATAGGTACACGACGTTGTATTTTGAGTACGATGCCTTCGTACGTGGTTACGAAGGCGTTAAGTGACCTTCACCTCCAGTTGGTATACAACCCACGGCCAACCGTGGCAAATTTTAGTTGCAGATAGTATCGGGAGCTAATTAAACTACGTTTAAACTTTATTTTGGTTCTTCATATTACTATCAAAAACAATTCTATTCACAAAAAAATCTATGATAAAAGTGATGACTTTGACTATGGTATAGTAAACTATCCACATTTAGATGGAGACGTACCGCATGCAACATCTGACGGGGTATATGTATCTCAGTAAATTATATTCGCTAAAAGCTAAATATTTCATAACTAGCAAGCTACTCAAACAGGGATACCGCTATTATCTATGGCCCTGGTTTATCTGGTATTCACCGATGCCGATTATCCAAATATTTGGACCTTGCTTATTTTGATATTTACCAAGGCTGAATATCTAAATCTATGGGCCATGTTAATATGATATTCACCAAAGCGGAATATCTGAATCTATGCACCAAGCTTATATGATATTCACCTAGGCTGAATATCCAAATCTATGGACTTGACTAATTTGATATTCAAAATGCTGAATATCCAAATAGATGGAGCAGGCTAATATGATATTCACCAAGGCTTATCCAAATCTATGGACCTGGCTATTAAGTTTTTTACCAAGGCTTAGTATTTAAATCTATGAACCAGGCTAATACATGTAATATGATATTCGCAAAGGCTGAATATCCAATTCTATGGACCAGGCTAATGTGATATTCGCTAGGGCTGAGTATCCAAATCTATAAACATGGCTAACTTGATATTTCATCAAGGCCGAATATCCAAATCTATTAATCTAGCAATTATGATTTTCAGCTAGACTGAATATCCAAATTTGTGGACCTGGCTATTGTGATATTAACCAAGGTTGAATTTCTAAATCTATGGACCTTTGATAAGGTATTTATCCTGGTCGATTATCCAGATCTATAATGATTTAAATGTTACCTTCATCACATCGCGGTCCTTTCCAGCCAGTCAAACAACCATCAAGACACGATCCATTAATATGATGACATTCTGAGAAAACGCTTGCACAATTACCGCTACATGTGGACGAGCAGTTGAATCCATAGGATCCACTCGGGCACTCTGTAGAAAAAAAATAATACTTAAAATAATAGTAATAATGTATCCGTACTTTTCGTTGACTATAAAAAAAAAGATTTTCGAATGGTATAATATGAATGTGTTATTTTCTCTTCATTTCATTTCTGTTCACATGAAAAGGCTTGTCCGCATTATATTGCAAAATTATTTCAGAATTTAATTATTCAAATAACGTGGTAGACATAAAATAATATGTCATTATTCGTGGAATACAAATTTTCGTTGTTTTCGTGATAAGCCAATCAACGAATTTAAGATTCAACGGAATGTTGTGTCGTTCGCTATATGATTATAATTATATTTATCCATAGATTTAAGAGACATACAAATGTTTTGACCTTCGTGTAATAGTTACCCTACGAGGAATAGGTCTGCATAGTATTTACAGACCCGGGTGGCGTTTTGAAGACCGAGAGAGCGTAGCGATCGAGGTTTTTAAAAGGCCACCGGGTGTGTAAACACTATGCAGACCTATTCCGAGTGCGGTAACTATCTTTCCTACATGCTCTTTAGTTTTTTCTACCCAAACATCAGTTTATAACTCAATATTTATCAATATAAATCACAAGAAACCTTTGATTTATGTACATTATCATGTATAAGAATGCATTCCGAAGCCATTCAAATATACCAACCGCTACGCTCTTGTAATTCATTAGGCGTCATACTGTCCAGAAATTGACACAAGATGGGCATACGAATATGAAATTTTTAATTCCGTGCGAAGATAGCCCCGAAATTGGTCGACAGTCTCTCAACAGCCGAAACAAGTACGATTCCTACAGAAGGTCACGCGATCACATCCGAGTCACACACGATTCCTACCGAAGGTCACGCGATTGCATCCGATACACACACGAAGTCACTTCAAAGATGCAATTTTGAACCAAGTAGTTTACCAGCAGGACACGCGAAGGTCACAAGATAGGTACACGACGTTGTATTCTGAGTACGATGCCTTCGTACGTGGTTACGAAGGCGTCAAGTGACCTTCACCTCCAGTTGGTATACAACCCACGGCCAACCGCGGCAAATTTCAGTTGCAGATAGTATCAGGAGCTAATTAAACTACGTTTAAACTTTATTTTGGTTCTTCATATTACTATCAAAAACAATTCTATTCACAAAAAAATCTATGATAAAAGTGATGACTTTGACTATGGTATAGTAAACTATCCACATTTAGATGGAGACGTACCGCATGCAACATCTGACGGGGTATATGTATCTTAGTAAATTATATTCGCTAAAAGCTAAATATTTCATAACTATCAAGCTACTCAAACAGGGATACCGCTATTATCTATGGCCCAGGTTTATCTGGTATTCACCGATGCCGATTATCCAAATATTTGGACCTTGCTTATTTTGATATTTACCAAGGCTGAATATCTTAATCTATGGGCCATGTTAATATGATATTCACTAAAGCGGAATATCTGAATCTATGCACCAAGCTTATATGATATTCACCTAGGCTGAATATCCAAATCTATGGACTTGACTAATTTGATATTCAAAATGCTGAATATCCAAATAGATGGAGCAGGCTAATATGATATTCACCAAGGCTAAGTATTCAAATCTATGGACCTGGCTATTAAGATTTTTACCAAGGCTTAGTATTTAAATCGATGAACCAGGCTAATACATGTAATATGATATTCGCAAAGGCTGAATATCCAATTATATGGACCAGGCTAATGTGATATTCGCTAAGGCTGAGTATCCAAATCTATAAACATGGCTAACTTGATATTTCATCAAGGCCGAATATCCAAATCTATTAATCTAGCAATTATGATTTTCAGCGAGACTGAATATCCAAATTTGTGGACCTGGCTATTGTGATATTAACCAAGGTTGAATTTCTAAATCTATGGACCTTTGATAATCCTGGTCGATTATCCAGATCTATAATGATTCAAATGTTACCTTCATCGCATTGCGATCCTTTCCAGCCAGGCAAACAACCATCAAGACACGATCCATTAATATGATGACAGTCTGAGAAAACGCTTGCACAATTTCCGCTACATGTTGACGAGCAGTTGAATCCATAGGATCCACTCGGGCACTCTGTAGAAAATAATAATACTTAAAATTATAGGAATAATGCATCCGTACTTTTCTTTGACTTTAAAAACAGATTTTCGAATGGAATATGAATGTGTTATTTTCTTTTCTTTTCATTTCTGTTCACATGAAAAGGCTTGTCCGCATTATATTGCAAAATTATTTCAGAATTTAATTATTCAAATAACGTGGTAGACATAAAATAATATGTCATTATTCGTGGAATACAAATTTTCGTGGTTTTCGTGATAAGCCAATCAACGAATTTAAGATTCAACGGAATGTTGTGTCGTTCGCTATATGATTATATATTTATCCATAGATTTAAGAGAAATACAAATGTTTTGACCTTCGTGTAATAGTTACCCTACGAGGAATAGGTCTGCATAGTATTTACAGACCCGGATGGCGTTTTGAAGACCGAGAGAGCGTAGCGATCGAGGTTTTTAAAAGGCCACCGGGTGTGTAAACACTATGCAGACCTATTCCGAGTGCGGTAACTATCTATCTCTTTAGTTTTTTCTACCCAAACATCAGTTTATAACTCAATATTTATCAATATAAATCACAAGAAACCTTTGATTTATGTACATTATCATGTATAAGAATGCATTCCGAAGCCATTCAAATATACCAACCGCTACGTTCTTGTAATTCATTAGGCGTCACACTGTCCCGAAATTGACACAAGATGGGCATACGAATATGAAATTTTTAATTTCGTGCGAAGATAGCCCCGAAATTGGTCGACAGTCTCTCAACAGCCGAAACAAGTACGATTCCTACAGAAGGTCACGCGATCGCATCCGAGTCACACACGATTCCTACCGAAGGTCACGCGATCGCATCCGATACACACACGAAGTCACCTCAAAGATGCAATTTTGTACCAAGTAGTTTACCAGCAGGACACGCGAAGGTCACAGGATAGGTACACGACGTCGTATTTTGAGTACGATGCCTTCGTACGTGGTTACGAAGGCGTCAAGTGACCTTCACCTCCAGTTGGTATACAACCCACGGCCAACCGCGGCAAATTTCAGTTGCAGATAGTATCGGGAGCTAATTAAACTACGTTTAAACTTTATTTTGGCTCTTCATATTACTATCAAAAACAATTCTATTCACACAAAAATCTATGATAAAAGTGATGACTTTGACTATGGTATAGTAAACTATCCACATTTAGATGGAGACGTACCGCGTGCAACATCTGACGGGGTATATGTATCTCAGTAAATTATATTTTCTAAAAGCTAAATATTTCATAACTAGCAAGCTACTCAAACAGGGATACCGCTATTATAAATTACGTAATTTTTTTACAAAATTTTACAATCGTAACTTTGATTTAATCTCAAAATACAGTAGTGATTCAAAAATGATTTTAATGGAGATGTCATTGTAATTTTTCTGTGGCCTTGGCTAAAATTATTAAACGTTTAACCAAAAGAGGTTTTTTTTTTAGATCTACCGCATGCTAAGTGTTTAACACTTAAACAGTTGGTCCTTTTCTCTTTTGAGTACATCTGACAGACCAACTATACCGCATGCTTAGTGTCAACACTTTAACAGTTGGTCCATCCTCTTTCTATTACATCTGACGGACCAAGTGGGATACTCTATAATGGACAGTTCCTAATGCCATTTGGGACTGACTTGCCATAATGATCGTCTTCTGCTTTGCTTCGTCGGGCCCTTGTAGGTGATTTTTTGTTACTCCGTCTTCCTTTAAAATATTGAGTACTTTTGTTATGGTCATATGGGTATTCCTTTATATGTATCTACATGATCATTTCGGTGTTTTACTTATTTTACCTTTTGAAACCATAACAACTGTTATAAATTTACTTGGCGGGGATTTATTTTATTTACACCGTCTCGTTTATAGGAACATGGTGGGCTAAGAGTGAGGTTTGGTGCTACAATAACCTGTTTAAACTCCCCAGTAGTACTTACGCTGCTGACCGGTCCAAGGCGGTGCCCCTCTTTATTTCTTAGATGCACGTCTTTGTTATTTCATACTGTTTTGTTGACAATTTTGCCGGTGGGCCTTGTTGTTTTCTCCTCTACGGTAAGTATTTTCCCTTTTGCCCCTAGTTTTATTTATTTAATAAATCAATCATTTATTTGTTTTCTTTGATCTCCTTGTCGTTTACCATTATTTCGTCTTATGTATCATTTAAGTGATAAGCCTATCCGTGCTCTACTTTGCGCCCTGTCCGATTTTCTAGGGGGGGGGGTCCTTTTGTGTTACTTGGTTCTTGTTGTTTGGTCGTGTGGTTGTTTCGTTCATTAAACGCTGCCTTTCCTTGTTGATCTTGTTTATCATATTTGTTAAAACTTTATCATACCACCCAAGGTGGGCCTGTGTGCCTCATCATATTTTCTAAGATGTCTCAAAAGTAGCAATGCTGCTGCCTTCTTTTTCTCGGTTGACTCATCACCAAAGCATGTAAATCTGCAGGAAATAAACTGAAAATAATTGTAAATTAATTGCAAATAATGGAAGCTTTTGATGTCTCTGTAATTATGTGCAAGAGTGACAGATGAGGAAGATGGTCTAGCCGTTTATATGTCCACCATGATAAACATGCAAAGCTTGAGCCATTAAAAATTGCTTTCTTCGGCCTCATCGTGGTCCCATCTCTATGACATCGTACCAAAATACGATGGTGACACGACGGTATTGCGGGGGCTTCACGTAGTCGTGTTCCCTTTTTAAGACTATCGGGAATCTTCGTGTTTACTTCGTATTGTCTTCTTGAGGCTAAAAATGCAAGATTGCACCGATGATCACACAAAGAAAAGACGAAGACTACACGATTTGACAGGATGGCTTCACGACGGCCTTACGAATGGCAAAATTGACATACGAATTCAACACGAAAATGAACCTTCGCAATGTCTTCGGGCAATTTTTAGCATGCCAAAGATTTTGGAACCGCTCACGAAGTTGCTGCCGGAGCTTGAAATATTGAGCCGAGGATCATACGATGACAAAAGATGCCCTCACGAATGACACGATGTTATTACGATCAGATCCGAATTTGAACATTTCCTTATTCGTGTATCCATCTGATGCCTAATTCGGGACACTGTGACGCCTGCACAAATCAGGTGTTATTTGAATATTCTCGTTTTTTTCGTTAGGTTTCATTATGTAATAAGGTCAGGTAAATATACCTGTTGAGAGTCTCAAGTCATTGATATGAAGAGGGTAAAGGTTATATTATTATTTTGTAATATGTATATATAATATTAATAAAAATAAAAATATATTGACATAGAATACTTTATCTTGATATATAATGAATTTCATGTTAAATATATGATCAGCCTATTTTAGAGATAAAATGTACGATTATGTTCAAAGGAAAGTAAGTGACAGGCTTTTGTGAATATAAATAAATACTAATAATACATGTAGTTAAACTGCCTTGTAAGTTTGTTTGTTTAGGTTTTGTTGTTGTTATTATTTTTTTTATGTAGGCGTTATATAGATGGCGGATTTTAAATATGCTTAGTATTTCATTCATGTTCGGAAGAATTTTCTTTCGGTGTATACTCTATAAGAATCATTGCCCCTTCTTGATGTTTAATAAGATCGTTTATATCCCATGCAGAATTGTTAAAATAACGCAGGATTGTGCAACAAAATCTGACAGAATTGTGGAAATAAATGCCGAAAACTAGTATAATTATATGAAGCTAAATAGTTCGGTAAAATGTGTTTATACCGAAAAGCAAACTATAAAGAAGGACTTTATGCGCGATATATCGGCAAAACACAAACTTATACTCAAGAACGGTAGTCAGGTCGGTTTTCTTAAAGCAAAAACTATCATACGAGAGCTAGAATATGATGTCCTACCAGCCGTATGCGCTGATTCATTTCTTTTAATTTGATGAACATGTACATTAATTTTTATATATCGGTCCTATTCCTATTCAAACTGATAATCCCCCACCCATATTTGCACAATTCAGAGTTATTTTTTTGCATAATTCCTGCATTATTGTCATTGGATATACGTATACGGGGATTATTATGTAATGCTAAATCTTAAATGCACGAGTTTCAAATATTTTCTTTTGTATAGAGGGCAATAGAACAATAACAGGTCGGTATCTATGTGCAGACCTGTTAAGCGGTCGGTAAGTGATTTACTAGACCGCTTTTAACAAAGGAGCCCGTAGGTAAGGATTGCTTGTAGGGTCTTGTTTTACAATAACAGTAACATTTTCATTGGTGTCATTCAACCTAGCGTGACTATTTTTAAACGTCCGTTGAAATCTTAATTATGTATAAGAATAATACAGAAATTCTAAACAAATATTATTATATTACCCTGATTGCATTTCGGAGTGTCCTTGTATCCTGTTTCACACCCACCACTACAATACCCATTTATCATATTGCACGTTCCAGACAAACAATGCCCGCAAACTCGTGCACAAGTCTTTCCCCAAAGCCCAACATCGCATCCTGTCGATGGAATAAAGTTATTTTAGAAAAGAAATCAAACTCGCTGTTATAGTTTTAAAGGCCCATTATGCCACAGAAATGCTTTTAATTTTCTTTTTAAACTATTTTTACTTTTTTGGTGTTATAGTTTTAAAAACGTTACTCATTGGTCAATAATCTGAGCCATCTTTTGCTTTTGATGCAATTTAGCAAGTGATACAGCTATATTGATATAGTATTTTGTATGGAAGTCAAAATACTTCTTTGTTTAAATTTTGATAATTTTATGACAAATAATTTCACATTCTCTGCTACTTTCTTCACGTTATATGCATCTTACATGCTCTCAAATCATTATTTAAGCATTATAAAAACAATTGTTTGCTCTTTTCATCAGAAGTAAAAATTCATTCGTTTCTGAAAATTTATGTGCTTTATAGGAACCGCACTAAGGTCTAAAATTGAAATTATTAATGACTTAAAACATGAGGATATGCAAAAGTAATTTAATTTTAAATAACTTGAAAAAGCTTTTTTCTGCTTTTTCTTAGTCAGCTTTGAATGAAAATGAAATAAAAACTTACAAGAGATATCACCTATATCTTACCACTGTGTACTCTGACGTCACATAATACGAGATCCGCAAACGAATTTGCCAGCGTTATTCTAACAAGGTTTCCTTTCAGCGGTGTATTGCACGAGACATGGATTGACGTGTTAGAAGGCACGGAATTATTGTGCATGTAACATAATTTTACATCTGATTCAGGCGGATAGAAGGTTTTGTCCTCGACTTTTTCTGCTGGGGCAGTTTCTACTGTAACTTTGAATCCTTTGAAATTAACTGAAAAAAAGTTATAATGATCGTTTGCATTTGTCGTTATATGATTTGTTGTTGTTTTTGTCTTCTTTGTCATTATAATTGGTTTGCGGGTTTGTCTTTCAATGTTGTTTTCGTTTGTTGTTGTTTTTGTCATTTTTTTCTCGGGGGGGGGTATTTTTTGTTACTTTATATAACTATGACAACACTTAATTAACTTTGATGCGCGTCTGTGAATATAAATGATGATTTTGACAGTTTACATGGTATTCAACATAAGGTACGCACAATTTTACAATGATAAGAAAAATACATATTCATCTTGTGCGTTTATTACAGTGTGCCATTTTCACAGCTCACCGTTATTTCAGTATACGATTGTTAAGTTTCGTATTAATATAAAATATGAAATTTTAGCTATTTTTTAGTTTCTTTACTTTATATTTTATTCTAAATAAACATCTTTTACAAAAAAGCAACAATTGTGCACAGATATGAAAAAATAGTATGGTGGAACAAAATACACCATCTTTCAATCTTAAAAACAACTCTTGAATACTTTTGTTGTTGCTTTTTCTTCCAACTAAAAAGTTACGAAAAAAATCTGAATTTACCAAGGAATTCTTCCTTAGTTAGAAAAGTCATTTCCCATATGGTTTCAACTGTTGGTGTTTGTACTCTCCACCATGGCGGACTATATCTGGTTACTCCAATCTCATCACGGTATGAATAACTACATGTTGTGTTATCGCCATCGTTGGCAAAAAAAGCCCAATGACGACTTGAATTTGAAAACCCGACGTATAATTGCCTCGCAACTTCTGTTTCTGCCAGATCTCCTTAAATATGTAATATGACATACGTTGACGTGATTTGACGTTATTGGATGTATTGCGTAAAACATTATTACCATTTCATAAAATTGGGAAATCATTTTTTAAATGAAAGAAACTACCAATTACAATGAATTAAGTTGGAAGAGATTCGCATAACATTAGAAGTACTTTTATTATAATAATATGAAAGAAAGCAAATCCTTTGAACGAGGAAGTCAGATAAAAAAAAATAATTTTTTTTTATTGCACATATTTCGTTTTAAAGGTGTCATTCAGTATTTTTATTTGGCGATTCCGCTTTTAACAAGAACAGCTCAGCAATTCTCTCTCTCATTCGAAAAGTTGCGATTGTTACGTTGTCGGAATACCTCGCTGATTATCATTGAGTTACATTTAAATGGCGGTGACCATAAATGACGGGCCGGAATTTTTACTTTTCCATAAATATATACAGCTAGAAAAATGACTTACTAATAGTTGAAGTGAAAACTATTTTACATTATACTTACGGATCTGACAACCCAGCCCGTACCATTTGACGTCACAGCCATTATAACAGTAGCCAGTTTCCTCATCACAAGTGTTGTTATTTTTACAGTGACATTTATATTGGCAATTAGGGCCAAATTTTTTGACGTCACCATGAGCATTTGCGCATGTTTCACCTTAAATTATAAATAAATTTGAAAACAAAAACAAACAAACACATGTCACAACAGGAATGCTTCCATGTCGGTTTCATTTAACTTTTTCCGATTTGTGTTTAAACTGGTTTTCACTCGAGCATTCATAGGTGAATGGTGGTCACACGAAAAATCATAGTTTCTGAAACAAACTGTATTTCAAACTCATGCTATGTTTTCACCGCCGATCAGAATGATCAACTCGATCGTCCCGATCACATTAATTCCCCGATGAAGCCCGACCAAGCTGGATTAAATGCACATTCACGACTCCTACACGACCTCAAGTCGACCCTACACGATGTTTTACGACTTCTTCTCGACGACAATCCGACCAACATCCCGACTTCTGCTCGGTCACCTAGACCTATACGCGAGTCATACACGATCTCAACTAGACTAACTGGACCTCGATCGTTGCCAGATTTCAACCCGACCAGATCGGATAATGCTCGAGTAGAAGTCGAGATGATCGTGTACAGATCGTGTTAGAGATGTATACCCGACCAAACTAGATCGTTACACGATTTATTCTCAATCAACTAGATCTTCTACTCAATCACTATACGATCGCTTCTCGACCGCTTATCTACTCGATCGCTACTCAATTTTTTTTGACATGACAAAAAAATTCGGGTAGGAAGCCCGAGTCATGCCGGCCAATGTAGAACGCTCCGACCACCCCCAATCACGCATACAGATCGAGTTAGACCGGTACCCGATCGCTTGATCGTGCTTGATCGAGTTGATCTGACCGGCGGTGAGAACACAGCATTATTGTAACTATTGTACATATTTAAGTTTATTGCTAATGGTGGTGGAGCATTAAAGAAATTCATTTATTTATTTATTTATTTTTACTTTTGTTTTTATTAACACTTTTTTCTTGATTATTTGAATTTAAATACAAAATGTGACTTTTGATAACAAATTAATTTTATTGCATGACATCGTCATAAACGACACATCCGTTTTGATCTTAATTGTATGATATTCACAAAGATAAACATAACTTTGGCAAAAACACTCTTAATCAGGTCAGTGTCTTGTGCTCCTTCATATCAATTGATGTACTTATAAATTTCCGATCGGAACTCATCGGCTATTATTCATAACAACGAAAAACAACAAGGGTTATAATAAGATCAACTCGTGTCATTCGTACAGAAAATGCGTCAACATGTAAAGAAAACAACAAGATTTTATAGTAAACAAGGAAAATCCAAATTGACCAACATGACTACATATTAATTGTTCCGCATTTAATTTTTAAAGCAGCATGCCTCTAGATTCGTTCTTATGTTCATGATTTTTTTGAAAATTCATTTAAAAGTAACATAAATTAAAGTGAACGAAGAAAGTAATTTACACATAACAAATTTACATGGTACTTAAATTCAACGTAAATTAGAAATATGATGACGAAGTCATTAATCGGACACGGGTAAATTATTATTTGAATCTTGAATTTCTTTACTTTTCTTATACACATGAATTGTCTACAGTTTGAATTTTTTATGCTGCTTTAATACAGTTAAATGTACATATGTCCTAATCTTCTTATATTTTTTGTAAATATGATTGACTTTAAAAATCATATCCTACCGTCTAAAATGAGACCTATCGTTTAATTCTTCCCTTATCCCCAATTGGTTTGACTGAATAAAAAAACCAAAATGCGTCAAGAAAAAATATAATCATGTTATTTCCGAATGGCTTATCTATATACAAATAAAAAAATCACAAGAATAAAGATCAACAAGGTAAAGGCAACGTTCACAGGAACACTGTAAAAATGTAAATAAATCTCTGTTGCACCATGAACAACATACGATATATAAACCTTATCGTGAGCTATATACGTTAACTTATATACAGTGTACATTGTACCTCGGATACTGCTTATCGTTGGTTATATACGTCAAAATGCGGCATACCGCAATATATATTCGACTTACGCATAAACCCGAGTAAAGCGAGTTTGAGTTATTGAGAGTCAACTGTATATCACTGAATTTGTAAAGATGATCAACATTGTGATCATCACCATAAAATTTTTCCTTCAGACTACACGATTACGAGTCAGATTACGTCGACTGCTTTAGCCACGACTGTGATAACGATTTTTACGACTTCGACAGCTTCTACAACGCGTATGACTTAAAAAATATTATAACTGCGAGTTCGGCTATAACTACGACAACAAATATTACACCTACGATAAACTTCCAAAAATGGTGACATTAGCCGTGATTATAACGATTATAGGAAGAAACTGAAGTAGAATGCGACAACAAGTAAGTACGACTTTTGTGCGACAATGACAACAACGACAATGACTACAAGTGTTACAGTTTCTACGACTAGAAGTACGGGCGAGTACGACTGCGTTAATAATGCTAATGACTACGTTTTACGCGATAACACAAGCGAGCACGACTACGACATCGACTACGAATATGGTCGATACGACTTCTACAACTACGATTTCTACGACTACAACTTCTACGACTGCGTGTACAGATACAGATTTGACTCAATCGGCTACAACCTAAAACATCCTACGAATTTTACGATCACGAGTACACCAGACAATAATTCCTGTAAACACGACTACCCTGACGACTATAACTACGGCTACGGCTACCTCGACTATGTCTAGGACTTCTACGACGACACATATGGCTATGTAGACGACTTCGACTACAAATTAAACGACTATGAGTACAGATACTCAGCGACGACTATAACTGTGGCTACGACTACTAAGAAGGCGCCTTCGACCTTACGACAACGACAGCGTCGAAACAGACTCCAGTAATATTTTTATGCGATCTAGTCTTCGGCGACAACTACAATATTGACAGCGACTGACGTATATGGGTGACTATAAAGGCGACCATTCAACAGCTAGCTACGGTGAGAACCACAAAACCAGTAGAGATTATTTTCTTGTCAAATACAATTTATAAATAATATAAAACTTATAAAACTATAAAAGATATTAAAAAAACTTAGTTTTAAAGACAGTTACCTGTTACTTGTATGTGTATACACATCGCACTTAAAATAATTACAAAGAAACAATTTCCAAACAACATTTTCACACCAAAAATTCATGAATGCGATTTCGTGTAAAATAAGACGTTTCTCTTAATGTAATTACAGGATGTTAATTAACTGTCAAGTGCCCGGATAAGCAATCTATTTTATCCTTCTGTTTAAGGTTTTGATGCTATATTAACAGGATCTAACGTGCTTTGTCATTTGATATTATGAGGTTATTTTTATACATTGTTGAGTACATGTACAATACTGAATATAATTGGGTCATTATCTCGATAGTGTAAAAACTTATATTTGACAAGGCGCTAGCCGGATTAGACATTTATTTTTTGTTTTTATTATACTTTAAGCAGTGTTAAGTGAAAAATGACTTGAAACATTACCTTTATGGGCTGCATTACCTTAAAATATCATTATACTAATTCTAAAAGATAAGTTGAGATAGAAATTAAAATTTATTAATGATCTAGAGTTTGAGGAGGGTAGGGAAAACACCGGACATTAAATACGGTACTACCTGATAAGATTAGTAATTAAAAAATGGGCGAAATATTTATGTAAAATAACAAAAAAAACTTGACTGTATATATTATTATCTACTTCTTTTTTTATTCACTATACAATGTCATTCACCTCACATAGGTCATTCACCTTACATGTGTACTGTAAAACCTTAACCATGCTAAATACTTGTGTCTTGCATGAACTTGCCCATATTTCAATCTGGACAATACCATTTTTTTTTTTTTTTGTTGTTGTTGTTTTTTGTTGTTTTTTTTTTTTGGGGGGGGGGGGAGAGTATAAGAATATATGCAGACTATATAACGCATATTTGCATGGTCTGGTCGCTTGCAAGTTAAACATTTACGGTTAAAATGGTTAAATTTTGAATAATTACTATCATGAAAAAGTGTCTGCTCTGTTGGTAAAAGATATAAAGATATTAAATGAAAATGTCGAATGTTAAACAATCATCTGTTTCTTTTTTTATCATCATCATCAACATCAGTATTATTATTACTACTACTGCTACTGCTACCGCTACAGCTAGCGTTATCGTTATCGTCAGCGTTACCGTTAGCGTTTTTTATCGTTGTCGCTAGCGTTATCGTTATTATTTTCGTTATCGTTATTATTATCGTTATAGTTATTATTATCATCGTTATCGTTAATATTATCGTTATCGTCATTATTATCGTTATCGTTAACGTTAGTATTATCTTTATTGTTATTAGTATCGTTATTATTATCGTTATCGTTATTATTATTATTATTATTATTATTATTATTATTATTATTATTATTACATGTTTGTTAGTTTGTTTGTTTTTCTTTTCTTTTCATTTCTTCGTTTGTTTGAGACAGGGTGGTGGTCTTTAAGAATATTTTAACACAGGGAGTTAATCTTCACAGGATACATGATGGAAAAATTAGAAATTTTCCTCCCTTGCATGATACGTTGGGAAAAAAATCGTAAATAGTTTATCTTTGACGTCTTAAAAATAACTTGATATACATTTACTTTTGTTTATTAATTTTCGTCAGCAATGCTATTCTGGCAAACATTCGCTCATTGTCGAATTTACACATTAAATAACCCTTTAAATTAGTATGAAAACACTTGTCAACAAGATCTTTGTTTTATAAACAAGATTGCTCCCGCATGACAAATTATTTATTATATGTATAAAATAGAATTTTCATAATTATTACATTGTATATGAAATTAAGCAGCTTCAATCAGGTCCAAAAGCCTTAAACATGCGAGTTAAAAGTCTAACATTGATCAACTTATTAGGCACATAAACCGAAATTTTATGAAAAAAATATAACAGACAAATACATGAAATATACCCAGAATTAAATTGTAAAACGATATTTAGTGCGATTTTTAGCCTGATATGAGATAAAAGAACCTAACCCCTTTTAATGTTTTAGATATTTTTGTACATTTGAATTGACATTTGGAAAAAAACATAATTATTTAGCGAATTATCTGAAATTTTACACAAATGTTACTACTTAAAATAGTATAATAAGCCGAAAATAAATTTCCTTTTCCTGGATAAAAAAAACCTCAGTGGAGTCCCTTTATAACTAAAGCTGGCCAGTTACGTACATTCAATCAGTCGGCTAAGTTCAGCATATTTCTGGTACTTAATTTAATGATAAACTAAGAAGTAGTTTACTATTTAAACGGTATAAAATTAGCATATACTTATTATATGAAGAAACAGAAAAACAAAACTAGGCAGCCACTTGAACTCGTGACGGGGATGTCATTACATGTAGATGTATTGGGTGAACATTCTGATATATCACCCACGGTGGGATGTGATACTGATGAATTGACAATCTAATAAAAATAACGTTAAAGGTGTAATAAATACCAACTAGTTTTACCCTCAGCCAACTGATACCTAGCTACTGGACCAGTTCATGCCATCTTCCGTGCAGTCTGATCATGGTATAACAGCCTCCGGAATAAGTTTGCAAATCCGGAATTTTCGCAAACTCAACTACCCTTTTTAACATAGTTTCAATACAAAAAGTTAAATTAAACAGTAATTTGGATACAAATAGACGATTATTGGCCGTTTATATGGCCCTCCATGGGTTTTTTACAATTCTCCCACGGGGTTTTACGTGTCCCACTGGGGCTTCAGTGGCGTTTAAACCCCATTTTCTTAAAGTGGGAGAATAAAATCGTGGGAGAGAAAAGAAATTCAAACATTTCTTTAAAACACGATCGATGGTTTTGTCAAAACCAAACGATTGACATGGTCAGATGTAAAACCAAGCGTGATAAGGGCTTTACACAAGACAATGGTAGTTATGGAGCAATACCTAACAACGATGTGCTTGTATGCAGTAAGTATCAATTTTAAGTAGTCAATAAAAATAGCGGTTTAATACTTATTTACAATTATTCAAAGCTATTTATATATAAGCAAGGACTAATTAACAACAATAATTTATTATTTACTTTAGTTTATTTACAACAATGATTCAATATATGTAAGGCATTGAACAATTAAAATTTTATTATCGTTTTAAAATAAAAGACTTTTACAAAGTATAAGATACCATTTGGTTAAAGTGGATTGATCTACACTGGGCATATGTTTTCCATAAGTGTTTCAAATATTGATTAAAAACATTAGGAATGTTTCATTTGGATATCCGTATAAAATAAATCTTGGCAAAAAATATTGTTAAAGTTCTAAGTGATTTAGTATCAACATTTATATGATTAATAAATTATAATTCGTTATAAAACATTTTATTGTCTGTTAATTAATCATATATGTCTAATCATGTATCTTACACTTGCCAACAACATCCATACATAATTCTTTCGTAGGTTTTTTGGTTTTTATGCTACTACTTTATACTTTCAACGTAATTATTTATTGTATTTCATACATTCCATAATAGACCAATTCCCTTTAATAGAAAAACATCACAACACATATTAAATGTCCTAGAAGTCTTTACACGTTCTCTCACAACATCCAGTGACGGTGGCACAATTCTCATTGCTTTTAACATGTCTTACAAAAAGTTAAGTGTCTAAATAAATTTAAAAACAAAATCTTTGCAAAAAAAAGTTCCTCGACCCACACAACATTTTTTTCACTATCTTAAGGAGATTATGGTACACTGCAAATCGTCACACTTTGACTTTACCGAATTTTCTTACCCTGAAACCGAAAATTAAAGAAATATTTAGTGCTTTAAAAACAATAAACACATTGATGTAAATAGTATGGCCAATATTTCTTGATTTCAACATTATTTCAAATGCCTGGAAAATAGTAGTACGTATGTCCATGTGTTAAATATATGGTGTTATAAGTCAGCATTTCGTTTTATTAAGATATCATTTTCAAGGAGTATTTACCAATCTGAATTTAGAATAATTACTTATTTACTTTCTTACAAAGGGTAAAAACATACGTTCCATACTATTTTAGTAAATTCAATGCATCTATTAATAAATTTATACGAATTTATTTAAGTAAGATTGTGTTGGAAGCTATCAGCCTCGGATCCGTTCCTTGTACCAACTAGTACTAAGCAATTAGTGAATTAAGTATCTTGCTCATGTAAACAACGGCTTGTCCTTCCTTGGCGGGGTTTAAACCCACGCAGCCAATAATCCTTAGAATACTTGTCCGACACGTTATCACTATACAATGCCATCACAAATGTATTTAGTGTCCAGCTTTATTTGTCCTCCAATGAAAACGCTGTATTTCTTAAAAATTATGTGTGTTAATTTTCATAAAAGAACAAAAAATGATACTATATTGAAATCCGTTCATAGTCACCTTCTATTTTTCATAGTGCTTCATAGTACTGCGTATTGACGTAATCAAGGGCCAAATAAAGCTTGACACTAAATATGTTAGTGTTCATCCTTAGCTGTTCTACAGAAATTAGAAACATTCTCCTGTCGCTATCGCTCCCGTCGAAGTTTCTAATTTCTGTAGAACAGCACGAATGAACACTAACTTATACTAAGAGCATGTTTGACGATTATCACCTACGATGATGTAGTCTGAATATGAATAAGTAAAGAAAAGATAGTTAAGCACTACATGTTAGCATTACAATTTATTCAGCGAAATCAATGTTTTGCTTAATTGTTTAAATGACAGCATACTTATAACAAAGTGGTAGAACCACTAATCTTGTGCCATGCTGATTTGTTGGACAATATTCATAACGGATCACATTTGTAACACGTGTGTTACAATTTGTTACAAAAGGGATTGCATTCGTAGCAAGTGGAATGTGTATCAAATGTGATTGTCCAAAACAGGGGTTGATATAAGAATCATATTTGTAACAGACTATGATTTTCACTGACAATTTACAGTACAGAACTATAATCATCATCGTCGTAATTATATTTCTTTGACATATTTGATAACGTAGTTGCCTTGATGTTTTGGTTTGCGGGTTCCCTGGTTCAAGTCTTGGTTTAAAATATAAATACCTTCAATATTAATGACAATTGATGCTACTCACATAACTTTAATCAAGAGATTTCCAAGATCAAATATTGCAATAATTTAGTAAAAAAACAACATAATCTCGAATCATGGGCCTTTAAAGGTAACCTCTAACTGCGATTCAAAATACATGATTGTATTAAGCTCCAAATGAATATTTTCAGTAGATTTAAAGATTATTAATCCATGCACACCTTTAACCAAGAACTTGCGTCATTCCAAATTAACGTCAGAGTAATGGGCCTTCGATAGTGTTCTCCAATTATAACCACAAAGACCTGCATATTTTTTTTCATCTAATACTTTCTTTAGTCTTGAACATTGACGTTGTCAGGAAAACATTAACAAAGATTTTTTTCTAACTTCAAAAAGGACCATAATTAAGTTAAAATCGATGTCAGAGTAATTGGCCCTGGACAATTATTTCGTAAGTGGTTGTTGAAAAAACGATGTTGTTCAAGAAGTTAAACTTTAAAGGCAGATGATGCCTCAGAAATTCATATATAATTTGTCTTTTTGTCTTTACAAATGTCAAGCATTTAGATAATGCTTTAATAATGGATTTAGAACATTAATGATATAAAACAGCTGAAGAAAGTTGAAGATACAGTAATGTGAAGCAAATGTTGCAAAATGTAAACAAGTAGCATTATGACTTCCATACAAATACCCGTTCACTATATTCTACCAATTGCCAAGAGAATAGAAACAGAAAAAAAGTTCATGTTTACGACAAACCAGAATTTCTTCGAAAACTATAATGATATACCAAAAATAGTTTTTCATAAATAAAATTGATAGTATTCCTGGGGCCTGCTGAGCCTTAAATCAAATTGTTAACCGAAAAAAAAACAAATAGTAATATAACGCCCTGGGTTTGGGATGACATGGCGGCAACTATGACAGCAACAACAGCAACAACAACTACCTACCGCTATTCAGGCCAATATTACCAGAGCAATACAATAAGTATAGTAAAAAATTACTTTTCCTCAAGATCGGTATAGCCCTCTTGATCTGTAATTAAAAATAGAAAAATCAGTATTCCGCAGAATCAATTTGCATTTGCGCATGTTGAATTATTCAAGCTATTAAAATATTTTTTTGAGGAATTGCAATTGATTACAATACAAAATCAAATAACAAATGACAAGGTTTGTGAAATAAAAACAGATTTTGAAACGTTTTGGGTTAGCTATTTGGACCTTTCGGACAATGCACCATTGTATGGGACACTTCAGACCATATTGAACGTAAAATACGGTGCTTCCATTACCACGCTAAATAACTTTAATTTATTAGTCCATCTTTAAATCTTGATGAAACCATTCGTCACTTTTAGGGAGTTTTAAAAATAATTACTGACTGAATAGCACAAGGTAAGGCCAATATCAAACGGTCCTGAAGATGCCTATTATCATAGAACATTCATAAAATAAGCAATGTTTTAAACATGGTATAACCACAAAGAACCTAAAGTAACAATTACGTGTACGATAAATATAAATCGTCATTTTTCTTGCCACAACGTTGGTCCTTTATCATTTTTTACTTTCGAAATGTTATACTTAGAAAAAGTGTAAATAAAATGTATTTTCTGTTCATAATAAAGTCTTCTTACCTTTCTTTCTGTTTCTATGGGGTCTGAAAAAAATAGATGTTAAATAAAGATATAAATAAAGGAATGAAGGATTAATTAAATAATTAAATTCATATATACAAATACCAGTCATATGTTTGCGCATACAGTTTCAATTCATAAGTTTGCGCATACAGTTTCAAATCATAAGTTTAGGTATACAAATTCAATTCATAAGATTGCGCATACGATTTCAAATAATAAGTTTGAGCATACAAATTTCAATTATAGGTTTTCGGATACAGATTCAAATAACACGTTTGATTTTACGAATTCAATTTATCAGATTTGGCATAGGCATACAATTTACAATCATTAATTTGGACATACAGATACCAGTTATGTTTATAGACTTAGAAATTCCATACCTGAACCAAATTTAAGCGTTCGGCAAATACATTCATTAAATGTCATTAAACATGATTCCTAGACAATTTCTATCACATTTGAGTCGAATGTAAGCATTCCTCTTATGAATTCATTAAGGGCTATTAAATATTCAGACAATTATTTATTTATCAGATAAAAGGATTTTCTTACAGTTCAAGATCGTCATACTCCTTATCATTATTCTGACCTGAAAAATATGTCAAACTCTAAAATAAGTCGTAAAAAACATTTTTTTTTAATTTTTAAAAAGTTACTAAGATATGAAAAAGTTATACTAAGTATCGTGTGAATATATTAGCATAAATCATAATATTCAATTTTATTTCATTTCGCTTTCTGTTGATTGATATAATACATAATGAACACTATAAACTACGTTTTGCATCGCTCAATATGCTAAATGGACTTGTTTGTCTTTCAAGTTCATCATGTAAGAGGAAAACTATATCAAATTAGCTGATCACGTTGCATAGAAATAGGTTATCATTATCTTATTTTATTAGTTAATTGCAAACTGGTAAACCGGTTAGGTCCTTCGATCAGCGAATTATGAGATTTATTTAATAAATAAAAACACAAAAAGACACAGAAAAAATCTAAATAAGAAATAATATTGACTAAAATGCAAACAGTGAACACCATGATCAGTTGACTTACTTCTTGGTCTAAGTGTTGTGTTGTAGTATATAGAAAGGAATCTTTCTTTGATCCTTGATGCCATCGGCCTTGGTCGTCTCGGAACCTCGGCCTGCCTTTGACTACTGTTTGTGTTACTTGTACTTAATTAAAGAAAATGTTCCCATGTATTAAAGCAGCAAGCTAAAATTCATGCTGATTTTAATGGCACATTTTCATGGCAAAAATGTATTTAAATGAAGTGAAAAAGAAGGTAAATTGCACATTGCAAACGGTACTAATAACTCACGTATATTAATAAAAAAAGCGGTTAAAATAACCTTTTCTATTTAAGTAAGGCAGTAGCAATATGATGATAAATACTGCAAAATCAAGCATTAATCGCAGAAATATCATGTGAATTATTACTTGAATCGTTTCTAAATATCTAGGTATAATCATTATTCTCTTGAATTTGGAGCTAGATTCCAAAAATTCTTAAAAGGTGAAAGTTGTTATTACTAAATGAAGAAACATATAAAATGTGTTATTGTGTGTAGAATTTCTTAAATCTAAAAATAGAAGAATATCCGTTTTTTAATGTATAACGTCGTAATAACTCTCTAATTGTTTTGGCGAAAAATTCCAAATGGTCTCAAAAGAAATAGTTACTGGTACTTACGGAAGCGTCCTGGTGCCAATTTAACATGTTCTATAAAAAAGATAACTCTTACGTAGGACTTTGTAACTCCTACGTAGGACTTGACGTAGGAGATAATAAAAACCTAATTAGGAGTTTAAAACTCCTACGTAGGACTAATTAAGTCCTACGTAGGACTTTATTAGTCCTACGCAGGACTTTATAACTCCTACGTAGGAGATATAAATAACCTAATTAGGAGCTTTAAAGTCCTACAAAGGACTTACAAACTCCTACGTATGATTTTATAACTCAAACGCAGGAGTTTAAAAAGCCTGATAAGGAGTTTATAACTCCTACGTAGGACTTAACAAGTCCTACGTAGGACTTTATAACTCCTACGTAGAAGATAAAAAAACCTAATTAGGAGTTTTAAAGTCCCACGTAGGAGTTTAAAAGTCCTACGTAGGAGTTTATAACTCCTACGTAGGACTTTATAAGTGTTCTTCTACGTAGGCGTTATAAAGTCCTACTCAGGAGTTATAAACTCCTAATTAGGCTTTTTATCTCCTACGTAGGAGTTACAAAGTCCTACGTAGGACTCACAAAGTCCTACGTAGGAGTTAAAAAGTCCTACGTAGGAGTTATAAAGTCCTACGTAGGAGTTATAAAGTCCTACGTAGGAGTTACTAGGTCCTACGTAGGATTTAAAAAATCCTACGTAGGAGTTTTAAACTTCTAATTAGGCTTTTTTATCTCCTACGTAGAACTTATAAAGTCCTACGTAGGAGTTACAAAGTCCTACATAGGAGTTTAAAAGTCCTACGTAGGACTTAAAAAGTTCTACGTAGGACTTATAAAGTCCTACGTAGGAGTTATAAACTCCTAATCAGGTTTTTTATATCTCCTACATAGGAGTTATTTTTTTTTATAGAACATGTTAAACTGGCACCAGGACGCTTCCGTAGGTACAAAATACATAAATATGTTCCGGTATTAAGAATTTCTCAAAAGTAAAAGAGGTGTAGTTATGTCATGTTTTAAGCCGTGATTACTCTACTCAGTAAATTGGCGACTTTTATTTAGAAGTCAAAATGTTCTCCATAATATAATACATTAGACACAGGAACGCTTTTGTGATTGGTCAGCAGGAATTTACTATAAATAGAATTACTATTTTTATAAATAGAATCACTGGTTAGTAGAAATATATTATAAATAGAATCACTATGACTATAAATAGAATCATTATGACTATAAATAGAATCACTATGTTTTCGTTGCTATGACTTATATAAAACAATGCTGGTCCTGATTCGAAATTACCTGATTCAAAATTACAAATTTTCTTTCTATCTACAAATAAAATTTGGAAAGTAAAAACAGCTTATATCAAATACAAAACTAAACGTCATCTACAATATTCATGGGTCAAATGCTACTGCAAATTCAAAGTGTGCTTGGAGTAAATCCTACCTTGATTGTCTCCTTTTCATGACGTATATGGTAATTAATACACTTAACACAGCAGTTAACGCGACTGTTCCTATCATTGACAAGCTTAATGCAATCTCTGAGATGATTACACCAGATGGCTTGTCACATGGTACAACTAAAATTATATCCAAAAATAAAGTTTGTTTAGAACATTTATTTAGAAACTATCAAGGAATTCATATTTTGTCAGAAGTTACTTTTGAAATGCATGTTATCTGAAATACTAACTGGAGGAGCATCTAAGGGCCTTTTTACCAAAGGTACCAGTGAAGCCAGATTTTTATGCATGTCATCTTAAATACTACACAAAGGAGCACACAAGAGTCTTTTTTCCAGATAAGCCAGATTTTGAGTTGTGAACTTTATCAAATAATGAAAAATCAAAAGACAGACAAATAGGGGTAATATCTTTGTCTCGCTTTTGTTGTGTGTAAAACGTTATAATTTATAAATACGAGCTTTAAAAGCATACCGCTGTTTTTATCAATCAACTTGTATAAATATACTTAAAAGCAATTGCGCCCTAATGAGACTTGTCCGGAAACTTGCCTTGTCCGGGAACTGGTTGGCAAGCAGTATATTTATATCAAATGTTTGTGTAATGTAGTTTTCTATGTCTCAAAAAGACGATGTTGGTTTGTATGCAACATTTCCTTAAAAATAACCTTAAATTGCTGGTATCTTTTCTATGGTATCATTTAATCTTACTTTATTATGAACAACGCGGATCAATCTTACTTTATTGTGAACAACGCGGACCGTCTCCGTGGTCGAGAGGTTAGAGTTGATGACTTCTATTCCAGTTACCTCTCTGGCGTGGGTTCGATCCCCGGGAGATGCTTTGGTAGTTTAGCGCGGAGAAAGGTAGTCTAGTACTGGTGTAACTCTCCAAGAACGATGGTTAGGAAACTACCCGCCTATATGACTGAAATACTGTTGGGAAAAGGCGTAAAATGAAACAAACAAACAAACAAAACAAACGAACAACGCGGTGTTTCATTTTCATTTTCATTCGGTCACTATGGCGGTGGGTCCTTACAATAACAGTCTTATATTTTCTGCAGCATATTTTAACGTACAAGCTATTGAATGTATTCTGTTTAAGTTTTATCTACATCTTAAATTAATGATGAAATGGTGTCACCTCTGTCACACTTCTTTTTGTCTCCTGTCCAGTTATCAACGCAACCATCTGAACAGTTGCCTGACATTTTGACTTCCGAGTTAAACTTCTTGCAATGACATGGATCTGCGCAGTCGAACCCGCAAACATTCGGAAGGCAATCTAAGAATTGTGTCATAGATAATGAAAGCTCTGTTATAAGTTTCTTATTAGTTTCAGATGCAACATATTTTGTTGTTGTTGTTGCTGTTGTTTTGTTTTTCTCTTTTAGTTTTTTTTAAATTTTCAAATAAATGGCTGTACATGTGTTGTTGCGTTCATTAAACAACCTTTAGTCAAAAAGCCAAAACATAGAATTTGAAGAATTTACTTCTCCCTTATTAAGTAAGCGAGCAGACGAACACAAATTGTACAAAACAACATGAACAACAAACAAGACGATTCATGACAACAGATCGGTGTGATCTATCACTTATAATGTGGAGATATTCAACTTTGATATTGGATACAGTTTTTGGTCTTTTGTGTTAGGTGGTAAAATGATTTACTTATTGGGGTACATAGCTAGACCCTATCTCTGTCCAAAAATCCTGAAATGAGGGCCTGCAGTATGGTTTATTATTTATTAAAATGAAGAAATAATTAAGACTGTACCTCCTAGAATTTGAACCTCACAGAGGGTTAATGGTTTAATAGCATTTTCCACTTTCACAAATCGAGCAGTGACATCTATTGAAATGTTCGTCTTCGCTACCGCTGGTACCGAATTATTATCCTTATAGACTGGAATCCAGTCACGTGAGTTATTAGATAACAGTATCGTGAAGCCTTTAATATCGTAGAAAATTACGATTAGAAATAACATAATTATATTATTATATAAAATGCATTACAGAATTAGTTTTTCGAAAGTTAAATATGATTCATATTTGCTTTTTATAAGGCCTTTTAATTTTCTACAATTCCTTGATTTCTTAGTTTGTCCAAGGTGCAATTATTACCCAACAGTTAGAAACAAAATTAGTTTAGCAATTACATGTATTTGGAAAATTACCTTTTAGAACCATCAAATTAAAACTTAAGAGAACTCCGTGTGAAGCATAAAGGATAGTTTTACTAATCAAACTAGACAGTTCAAACTTGAAAGTGCAAAGTATAAGATATTACTTTTAAACATGGTATTAACACCCAAATCCGCCATTTATTTCTTTTGTCCTAATTTAAGTATTTCCGCGGGTTAAAATCTCATCAGAGGTAAGTTGTGACTTTTTCCTTTAGCAAGAAACTTACACTTATTGAATAGTACTGGTTAGTTCCAGAAACAAATTCAGTAATGTGTCTATACATGCTATACGCATATATATAAACTAAAACTGAAACTATATAAATAGCTTTCAACATACTAAAACTAACATAATTTCTGTATGATTAACTGCATGTTAAACTAATGATAGAGCAACCTAACAGGGTGTAAACAAGAAAATCAGATCACAAAAACATTCCAAAATGTTCCATTCGGACAAAAGTACATTAGGAAAAAGTACAATCATGATAATTTCTGTAATCAAATGTTTTGTTTATGGACTCGTTTTGTTTGATCAGAAATATGTCCGTTTATGGATTTTAATGTTTCGTTTCGCAGATTATCATGGAACACACAAAATGTGTGTATATATGTGTTAAAGTTCTTTAATACAATACATTATAAAATGAACGGAATCTGGTAGACCTGTGGAGGAAAGAAAAACATACTCGCAAATTGGCAAGTGTTACACATGCGCGAGTTATATTCTGAATTTAAGATATGATTATATTAGGAAAACATACCATTTGAATTTGTCGTTGTAATATTCACCCTGTTTATTACAATTATGTGCGCAAGGTCAACACTCCACCAGGGTGTGACGCTACATTTGCCATTTGTTGGGCTACCATCCACGACGACGGATGAATTTTCTCCTCCTTCGATGCTGGGATCTTGATCAGTTCGTCTATTAAACGCTACATTTCGACCTGAAAGAGTATACTTACCTTCACTTCTGTATTATAATGACGCAGTTAACCATTGCGTGTATTTGGAACGTTAAGAGCATCAAAGTATCAAAGAACTACCAATGCACTACTTAAACATTTATATTAATATTCTACAGTTTAACTTTAGATGGGCCCAATGATAAAAATACATCATCTACATTTGCTATCATACTGTCATGCTAGACTTGCATTAGACTGACGGTGCACCACTGGATGTCCGTGGCCCCGTTCAACTGAATAATGTGTGGGTATGCATTCCGAGGACATTACCTACCATTGTTGTTCTGTGTTCCGATTTTTTCTATTATAGTATCATTTTATGTAATATTGACACTTTCTTAACCCATCTGATTGCATGCATTTAAAGATAGATCTGGAAATTATAACTAATAAGGGGACTTCAATTTGTTAGAAATGAGAAGCAGCACAGAAAATAGTGACGATTTCTTGGCCCTTTGATCCCAGTAACTTTCAGTTGACACATACAAGGTAAACGATAAGTCTATGATAAGTCAACGACAGAACGGATAAAATATTTAAGATATAGACATTAGAAAAGATGCAAAAAGTTTCTATGATAAATGAATAACACAATAGAAACAGGTTTGCTTTAAGGCTGAAAACAAACAAAGACACTTATATACACCAATGTGATATACCTTGAAATATTCTGAAGTCACATATCGAAAGTTTTGTTGCTCGTCCACCTAGTCGGAGTCGAACTTGGTTTCCTACCACAGGATTTGTGCAGACGATATTGATGACTTTATTTCGTATGTTGGCATTGTTTTGAAAACATATTGCTTGTTTTGGAACAATGTAATCGTTAAAATCTGTCTTCGTTGCCAGATATTCTGGTACATGCTCAACAGTTATCTTGAACTCTTTAAAATTTTCTGTGAGAATAGATAAAAATCAAAATAACTTTGCATCTGGTCGAAATTTATCCACATGACCAAAGGAATTGTCAATAAATAACTATTAGAATGTGTCGGAAAAGTGCAATTCTTACAAAGAGTTGGGCAGTTGTGGTTTGTTTGTTTGTTTGGTTTTATTTATGTTTTTGTTGTTTTTTTATTTAGATCGTTTTTATATATTGTATCATATTCTTTATCATTGTTTTCAATAATCATTTGTATAACTTATCTGAAAGATGTTACGTATTTAAATCAAACTGACAGTGAAAAATGAGCACAATATCAACTTACGTATGATTTAAGTAATAAATTTGTACGCATAAGAACAAACATACAAAGTTTAGTCTAAAACAAGCAAAAAAAAACTTTTTTTCTTAGATACCCATTTGTGAACTGTTGATTACGATTTCCAGCTCGGTTATGGTGTAGTTATTTGACAACCATATTCTCCACCAGGGTTTGGTCCTTCCGATGTCGACATCAGTGCATGTAGATACATCACCATCTATAGCTAATCTAGAGCTGGTCTTTTTTTCATCCGAATGTTCCGTGAAGACATAATCGACTGCGATGTTTCCTATTAAAAACATGATGTCACGTATGACGCAAGCATTGTTTACAGTGAATACAAAATATTTAATAACTCCGTCACTTAAAGAATATGTTGTTCTGTGAAAGTTTTTTTTTTTTTTTGAGCCAAACAAGAAATTTTAATGGAGAAAAATATCTAAGTAGGGAATAAGGTGCCTAATGAGGAAAAATAAAATTCTCATTATAACTTTGTCATCCCCGTACACAGTATTTGTAGCCCAAAAAAGCCAAATTAAGATCTTGAAACATCTATTAAGGATTTTAAAAATCTAATTCGGAGAATTAAAATCCTTATTTGGACATCGTTATTCCAAATTTATTGAGAAGAAACATAATTCGAATTCATGATGATGATCATAATGGTGATGATTATTTAAGAGGGCAAAAAGATTAAATAGGTATTGTTAATTAGACTTACGGTACTGGCAGCCTGGCCCTGCCCAGTTATGGTCACACCCTGACGAGCATTGCCCGGTAACTTCATCACATTGTATATCATTTTTACAGTGACACCGGAATCTGCAGCCAACACCAAAAAGCTTTTTCCCACATTCTGCGTCTGCAAAATAATAATAATGATTATAATAAAAATGATAGAATGATAGAGTCTAATACTAATAATAATAATAATAATAATGATAATACTTGTAATAATAAATTAAAGACTCCAGGATTTTCGTCTTATTTACAGGACCTATATACATGTATTCATCAAATATAAAATATAGTTCCGCAAACGTTTCATTTTTTTATCGTTTCTTAGTCTTTATGCGCGTTTAACATTATCATTAGAATTAAAATGACCCAATAAAATAACACTTAAACACTATTTGAAGCCAATTGTTATACTAAATTTAATTTCAGTTTCTGTTGCAAGTATTGCAAAAATAAATAATGGCTTCTAATTTAAATGAACAGAATTTTTTTAGTTAAAATTGCATGTATCTTACACAGAAGTGACAATGTCTTAATACTTTCATGTTATATACTGTCTTCATTTTATAGCTTACAATACCCATTAAAACCGGCCTGGTGCTTTTTTTTTAATTTTACTGTTCTGGGCGTTCTTTGAGCATACTGTTGTTTTTTTTTTTAATTAAGTATCGAACTTACACTCACTCAATACCATCTGTTTATGCACAGAGACTTAATTGCGCTAAGAAATAGTAATGTGATAAGTAGCGAAATCAATTTAGTAATCCTTAACCAGTAACTTTATTAGTTTAAATAATTTTACCAAATTATTGAAGCATAAGCAAATGTGTTGTATTTTTACCAAAAATGAAAGTGTTTATAAGTATGGTGTTGAAGCGTTTACAAAACATTTACTGGTTTGATATTTGTTAGCAAATGTTGACGATTACGTAACATAAACATAAATGACATTATGTAGCCAATTTTTTAATTAACGTGTGTAACAGCCACATGCTTGGATGAAAGCCTCAACCCTAATATCAAAATATAAACCCAGTGTGTCTTTTTTTGAGAATGTTATAGGCGTCCGAAGAGAAATGCTGCCTTTGTGGGCGAAAATATACATGTATTTTGAGGCTGCCTATGATGACGGAAGATACTCCGAAACTGGCTAACACTCTTACAGAAAATCAAACTGACTTTTATTATTGGTATCGTACTTTTATCCACAATTAAGGCTTTACTCTATCATTTGTAAACTTTTTCTGATAACAGGCAACATGTTTATGCGAAAGGTGCATAGAAAAAGCTTTTTATTGACACGAGGTACATGTATCAGGACAAACCACGATTTAGTACGAACGAATTTTCCTATGTATGTAAGTAATATGTTTTGTCATTCACTGTTAAGTTTATAGTCGTAGTGTTAATCGTTATATTTTTAGGTAAATAATGTGAAATGGCATTGAATTGGTGAACTCTGTCTGATGTTGAAATTACGTTTACTGTGTGTCATTAAAAAGTGTTTCTTTGATGCACTGATAACTTTTTCCACAAGAAAATATAACAAATGCAAGTTTAAAGGCATATACCATTGTTACATAGGCATAAAGGCGGATTTGAAATCTGTGTAATAGAATTTGAAAGGATTTTAAATCAGCTTAGATCAAAAGCATTTGTGTAAATATGACCACTGTTAACAACACTGCACGTTCCTTTACAATGCTGGAACCGAGATTATTTTACCAGTATAGAGATACATAGTAGCAAGGTTGACTGAACAGGCAGGCTCTGTAGTTATGGCTGACTAACTCGTGATATTCTTAGGTCTTAAAAATATAATGCATTTTACAAATTCAGATATGTACAGTCTTACCAGTGTCAGCATTGTCGGCTCTACAAGTTTTTTTCCCCAATCACATTTCATTTTCTATTAAAAGTAGTATAAGTCGAATATGAAAATTAAATGCACTTCCGCAAAAATTCCCCCAGGTTAATATTTGCAAACAAAATGTGAAATATGACTCCCCTATTTAATGCATATAAAACGTTTTAGAAACGTTCATGTTTTGCAAAATTAGACAAATTCTGTTATATACTAAGAATGAAAAGAATCATTAAAGTTTAACTCAAAATTTCCAAAGGAATTATATACGATCTATTTAAATTTCCTGGCGGACATAAACCAATACCCCACTTTGTTGGCGTTACTATTGCTGTATATAAACCAACTCAATGCATATTTGTAGAAATTAGCCTCCTTTTAACAAAAATGAGGAAGTGGCATGATTTTAAAGTTTGCCCTTAAATAAAAGGGCGGACAACTTATTTTCCCTTTCTCTGAAGAGAAGTTGAATTATTGTGATGCGTGTATGTGGTCGCACGGTCACTTTCTTTAAACATGTCCTCGATGCATGTATGTGGTCGCATGGTCGAAAATCTTTATAAAAATAACATCGCTTTCAAAAAGTGTTGCAAACTCTCAAAAAAAAAAAAAAGATTTAAAAGCATAATAACGAATTTGTTATTTCTGTATAGGAATTTTAAAAGCAAAATAAGGATGTTTTCACTTTTGATTTAGAACTACAACAGGCTAATTAATTAACTTTGATTCTCCAAAATAGAGAAAATTATTCTTTACTCAATGTTGCAACTAATGTACACAAAATTAGGAGCAATAAGCCTAGTTACAAGTTTGTAGCTCTTAATAAGAAGTTTGAAAATCCTATTTAGGAGGAACAAAAATATTTTTGTAGTTTATTAATCAATTAATCAATAAGGAGAAGCTTTAGAAGACTAAATATAAATTAAAAAGCTCAATTGAATTGTGTAACTTCTAATTAGGTTTTTAATACATAAAGAAGAAATTTGGTCACTTAAAGAATTTAAAGAAATTGATTTATTTATAAGACCCTGGCGGGATTCTAACCCACGGGAGTTATAAAGTTGCAAAAGTACGCAAATCAATATTACTTTAAAGGTGTTACATGCACACTATACTTAAATTCAGGATTTTTACATTTTAATTGCAAACAAAAATTACATTTAAAGTGCACTGGTATATGATGTTAAAACTAAAACTTGTGGTCCGACCATTTTGGTTTTTGTAAACTACAGCATCCATGTAAATACTGCAAATTTATTCCTTAATGTTTTGTCTTATGATTGCATTTGACCTTGTATGTGTTTGCATAGAAAACAAACGATAAAATATGATTTAACTAAATGAAACGTATGCAGAATCATAAATTTTGTATTTTTATCATGTGTGATAACAAACCATGAGGGAACTTAATTTTATAATGAATATCGATCTTGCGACATTAAACGCTAGTGTTGCGATATTACCGTTGTGATATTCAGCGGAATTGGTGCGGCAGATGGCGGCAAATGCGACATTGAGCGCGTTACGACATATAACGGTGCCACAAACATGTATGTTGTATACAGAATGAGTTATTGATGATAGTCTGGGTTTACTGTCAAAGGTAAATCTGGCTCAGAAAGAATCTTATTCTATTAATTTAGTCTTTACTTCTATTGTTTTGAAAACGGAAATTTTATAGTGTAACCATGTTATTTCATAAGGAAGGGTTTTGTTCATTTATATATCGTTATGAATGAACTTGTTAAACACAAAGACAAAAATATATAATATGGGTAAAAACATTGTTAGTGTTAAAAACGAGACTAGGAAGTTTGAAAAGTCGAAATCTATTCGTTTACAACGCGGACTAACAATGAATAGCTATTGTTTTGTACAAGGTCTTGTTAATGCATCTTTATGTTTAAACACATAACAAAAATAAAATTTGTAATATTTATAGTTATAGTAGTGATGATGATGATGATGATGATGATGATGAAGTTGATGATGATGATGATGATGAAGTTGATGATGATGATGATGATGAAGTTGATGATGATGATGATGATGAAGATGGTGAAACTGAAGTTAGCCGACTAAGGCGCGCACACTTTATTTACACATAATTATATCTATTTGATAAAACGTTCAGGATTCATATCAAATTTAAAATCTTCGAAAAAATACACAAATTTACACAAATGTGTTAAACTCTTCAAGTTTTAAACAAGTTTGTGACGTTATCCTTTGTCTATTTGTCCATATTCACATAAAATGACAGTTACGGAGTTTTTCTTTGACTTAACAGCAATCCTTACTGAAAAATAATAATAAAATTATGAAAATTTAATATACTCAAAAGCATTTTGACTCTGTTAGTAAATATTCTAGTAGGGAGTTGGCCAGAAGTTGCGGGTTCGAGCAATTAATGAGGATTTTTCTATACCATTATTAGTATCGTTATTTCATTTTTCAATTGCAATCTGTTGTCTCTGTTGTTTTTCTTTCATCGGATACTAACATTATATTTATGCTACGAAAGTAAATAATTTTATAGTGTTAACCTGGGACAAACAATGTTCAGAAAACCTGGGACTTACAATGTTTATATATGAACTATGAAGACAAAAGTACATGTACAAACAAATTAAGACCTCCTACTTTTATACGAACCATCAGTGTGTCAACCTACCAGTATTGTAAAGATCGAAACCTGATCGGAAATCGTATAAACGGGAAAAGTTTTTTTTTTTTTTCCCAAAAAATTTCACGCGCAACCACACCATAAAGATGTCAGCAGTTGCCTCGGTTATGTACATTTCAAAAGTTTGGTTAAATAACATGACTTTTATCGATCGTAACATCTTCATTTTTTCATCTTCAAGGACCATAATGCCCGCTCCAGGTGTCACTACAGTAGAACTGCTGAATATATTATTCATATTATACCCGTAGACTCTTTAAGGAACCCGAATTCGGCCAAAAAGCAAAAAAAAAAAAAAAAAATTGAAAAGTTTGTAACGTTCAAATGAACTAAACAAAAATAGCCGAACAAACACGAACAGGCATTTATTGTTAATTGCAGACTTTTCATCTAGATGCGTCCATCAGTACAGAAAAAAAACTTTTTATGGTTAAATTGAGGCGCGGACAATAGCGGAAAATATGATAAAATTTAATTCTTAAAAACATATATACACTATACTCAAAATAAATTGAAAATGGATATTGTTTTAGGCTACTGTTGGGAAATAAACAGTATAACGCGATGAACGCTTATTTTTCTTGGTCAACAAATTTTGCTATTTTTACTTGCAAAAACTCTTTTTTCTTCAAAATTGTCAAAAAATTTGTATATTATATTTTAGAGCTACGTATACAAGTTATTTAATAATTATTCTATATATAGAGGATATTTGTTTGTTTCAGTGTAAGATCGAAAAATATTTCACCGAGTGAACACCAGATGCAATATTTTCCACGAGTGGCGTAGCCACGAGTGAAAATATAATAGCTGGGGTTCACGAGTGAAATATTATTTGATCTTACATGTAAAACAAACAAATTTTCTGTTTATTTCATGATTTTTTAACGATTTTTACACCATTTTACTGATTTTTGCCGCGTAACGTCATGCTCTTATCTTCATGACGTCATCAAATAATGACGTCACAATGTTGAAGCAAAATATAATTCCATGATTATTTTTAGATTTTAGATGTTTTTCAGCACAACGTTCGTAAATATTTACGAACTACAGTTATCACGTATATTTTTTATTATGATTGACATCATTTCCGCTGAAAAAAACATGCATTAATGATAAATATCTTATTTTTACGCCTTTTTTAGTTCGGCTACTGTGAAATTATATTTGGTAATCATTACTGTGAAATTATTGGAATATAATTAACCGTTATAATTCAGTAATCTACTGCAAAACATGTAATAAAAGTAAAATAATTTTCCTTTACCTGCATTGTAGAAAATCGTGAATATTATAAACACTGTTGATATTATTCGAAATATATCCATCATTTTAATGCTATGATAAACAAGAGCAACTGAAACTGTTTAGCCCGGAAGTTAAATATTTGACTAAATATTTGAATGACTTAAAGAAAATGTATTTGTTTACTTAGTGCACAATGTAAGTTTCCTTATGTACATGTACGAGTCATACAGTTCACGTAAAACCCAACAAATTGTCCGCATCTATTTAATAATATGCGTATGTGCGTCTCTTGATTAACCTTATGATTTTTAAATAAATTATTTCACACCATATAACGGGCGTCAGTGGTGACAGATTGCTGTTACAGTAGTAATGCCAGGAATTCAAAATTTACTGATTACTACAGGTAGATTATGAAATTTGTTGGAATATTTATACTACGAAAATAAAATGAAACCATGACATTGCTATAAAAAGTACTCTAAGAATAAAAGAAGTTAATAAAAAGAGTTATCTTGGTTTTTTTTCAGAGCCTTTCTGCCATCATCGGCAGCCTACAACATACAATACTGCCTACAACGACACCATTTTCGATCTGGATGTAACATTCTCAAGAAAAACCACTGAATGCGTCACCCAAATTATGGCTGTCTTTGTTGTTTTTTTTTTGTTGTTTTTTTTTTTTTTTTGTTTTTTTTGTCAATAATTTAGCGCGAAAACTATAAAAAAACAACATAAATCTAAATTGTTGTCCCCTGTGTTATAAAATGTTTTTGTTTTGTTTTGTGATAGTATCACAGTGTCCTCTTTACATTCTTCATTTGCTCATGTTTTTATAAATTATACAAACTGAGTGTTATGGTAAATAAAATTAAATTTGAAATTGTATTACACGATTTTTCCCATTTTCCTTTCTTATTATAGCACACTTCGTGATATTTGAAAAGTCTTAATATCCACTGGATTATTTTTTAAATCGAGAATGATTCATTTTTGGAGTAAATTATTATCAAGTAATACAACGAAAATATCTCACATTTGTTATAATCATATGCTGAACACTACAGTTAATTACAAGTGGGTAAACAACATAAAACATAATAAACCAAAATGACCATACATATATTTGGACATATCAAAACTCGCTCTAAGTAAGCAATACTTATAAGCATGTACTCGTAAAAAGGGTATTAATTGATCAATTCGTACAAAAATGTCGCAGTCAGCTTGAAAATTCATCCAAAGGTATAAACCATAGGCTATTTAAAATGATATATCATCTGAATCATATCTAAATATACTGCCAAATTATCTAAGGTTCACGCTTTATTCATTTTAGGACAGGAAATTATAAATGTGACGCAATTCACAGCTTCCACATGAAAAGCGTAAATGTGTATGTTAAATGAAGTCGATGATGAATTTCATTATATGTTAGTGTGTCCTTTTTTCTGTCATTAAAGACAGCGATACATCCCAACTTACATGTAGTTACTTCAGCAGACCAAACGTGTTGAAATTTAAGGAATTATTATCAACAGAAAATTTTTATCTCCTTAAAAATATTGTATTTTAGCACGTTCTATTATTGAATATTTTAATACTAATAGCTAGAACAATACAGACTAAACGATTTCCTTAGTAAAGTTCAAATGAATTTAATATCTACCTTATTTTCTGACTATCTGAGTAACAAACGATTTAATATAAATATTTTTTCTTAGCGGTTGTAAAATATTTTCAATAGCAGTATTATCTATGTACGTGAAAAGCGTGCAGCTGTAGTGACGTACATTGAGTATTAGGATTTTCTCACGCCACCTGATTTTCCTTTGTGTACGGCCGTTTGCAATAGTGTACATTTAATTAAATATGTATGATAATTTGATAAATAATTATACAATTGATGGAAGAAAAAATAACAAAATTTGTTAAAATAAAAAAAAATCGTAATGCTCTGTTACTCTCTTTTGTTACACCTCTTCTCGGTATATACATATATATCTTTTTATGACATGCATGTATGTACATGTACCCACTATTTATCAATTAATCATAAATGCATATTTCGAAACATACACAGCATTGCAGCAGTTTTGGACTGTAAAGTTACTGTCCCTACGGAATTCCATAAACGACAGCCTACTGTTTACTGTCAACTGCCTACTCTCAACTGCCTACTGTCAACTGCTTACTTTAAACTGCTTAATGCTTACAGCGACTGTTTAATGCTTACTGTTAATTGATAAATGCATACTGCTACACGTAATAGAAAGAGCACCGAAACACGAGGCTATCTGATTTGTACGAGGGGGCGTAGCCCCCGAGTATAAATCAGATTGCCGAGTGTTTTGGTGTTCTTTCTCTTTTGTATCATAGTCAAACATAAAAACACGTTCCCTGTTGTCACAATTTTAAACCCCGGGAAAAGGTAACCAATGATCGAGCATCTGAATATGATATTTCTGCCGCTTTCCCTTTCTCTGCCGTCACAATATGTAAACCCCAGCAAAAATGAGCCAATCAACGGGCATGATCTGGAGTGCGGGTAACTGATACCTGCACTCCAGTTACCGCACTGTGCATGTACATGTATACGATTTAACTCTGACACTTTTTCAACAGAAAGGTCCCCAAACTATGATACAACTGTCTAATACCCGATTAATTGCTTGCCTGAAAGTAAATGTTGACTTTTATGTCCTTCTTCTTATGTGTTTATATGTTACAATGAGGCCGTTTAAAACAGTATTGGTCAAGTAATTACTCAGTATCATTTATAAAGACTTTGACTGAAGCTTGGAACTTGTTACATTTATACATGTACAATTCTCGTTTTACTAAGCAGAAAAATAAGTATATATCTTTGCAGGCATCTGGAACTTTTCCAAATCATAGACCTGTAAACTTTATAGAAATGTTAAACTAACCAAATATTACAATTTTTTTCTGTCATTAAATCTTGTTCGGTAATTTTGAGCTACCAAATATAACTGATTGCTTAATTATTTATACATGTATATCCTTGTTCAAGCTTAGATACATCTACCATATAACATGTATATTATAATATTTGTTCATTAAATGATATTGACCCTACCCTATAACTATAGAGCTTAATGGTATTTTTAAACGGAGGCCTTGTAATGTCATGAACGTCTTTGTTTTTACATTTAAATCACAATGGTCAGTTTTAAGTTCGCATTTTGAAAATAATGCTATAATGTTTTGTTAAAAAATAATCTAGGTAATGGTTCTCAAAACATAGATATATAGATTTTCAGAAAAAAATATATATACCAGTCACGTCTCGGATTACCAGTAGTTTATTCTGATAAACGTTAAACGTACTGGGAGAGTATACACACTTCATGGTCCAAATCATACATGGAACCGTTTAGTTCTATCTAAAAAAGTTACTACTTGTTCTGGTGATTGTAGACCGTACATTTATACCTTAATTCTACAAAGCCTTAGATTTGACTCAAGAAATGTTACTTTAATAGATGTTAAAAAAGCTAGCGAGTAACATATCAATTATTGTGTTACAATTTGAAGGTCGATGCATAATAAAATCATTGATACTTAGGCATTATTGTTAGTATTTGTTTATCGATATGATGAACTGCGGTATCCTAAATTTGAGTCAATGTAATGCCCTCCGCATGTAATTTCTTAGTTTTTTGCAATATTGCCTTTGTTACATTCTGATTTTTATAATTTATGATAAAGGTATTAAAACCACATGATAGAAAACAGATTAATCAATATATTGCTGGACGACCGTCTTTTTATTTCATTGTATTAAGAAAAGAGTGTCTAGGTTAACTTATAAAGCTGTTTTGAAGAAATATATTCAGTTAACTTGCCAGATATTGGAGCTTCAGATGTATTTCTTATGGAGCTAATGATATAACGTAATCTTCATCTTCCTAATACATACTTTTCGCGATCCCATCCATTCAAAATTGATGGACTAAGACACTGTTTAACCCATTACCCGATATACACGCCTTTTAACGCCTTTTTCACCCCCTTTTTTGTTGTCTCAAATGGTGAAAAAATGCCTTATTTATCCCCCAACACTTGTTTATGTTTGAGAAATGCTGTTTAAAAAAGTGACCACATTTTTGGCGCGACCCCAACCAAAAGATACATCAGGGGGTTGCCAGAAGGAGGCAAAAGAAAATTTTTGACTTTTGAGAGGCTAAAAATGACCCCAGATTGATTATAAGGTAACGCGTAACCAACGCTGAAAAGCATTTGACTCTATCTCAATCCATTTAGAAGTTGCAGCATTTTGAAATCAATTTTGATGAAAAAAATCAACGCATAATAGTGATTTTTGGCAATTTTGAGATGTCCCTTCGTTGCCATGGTAACAGGAAATTTAAGTCTGGGCATGTTGTTACAAAGGCAATGGTCCAGTCAACATTAAATTTTGTGCCAAGTTTGATTAGTATTGAAGCAGTTTTTATAGTTTAATAGCAATTTGAACTTGTAAAGACTTTTCAATGAAAACAGCCATTTTTCACAAAATGCTCATGAAGTAATGGGTAAAATGTGGACAATGTTGAATATTGTTTTTTTCAAATTGGTCATGTTACAACATTCAACAAACAAACTTTGCTCTATGGTTAACATATATATAACCATTTTCAATTCATTTTGTCATAATTTTGTTTTCCGGGGAGCTAAACATAAACAAAATTACAAGAAAATTATGATATTTTATTGTTAAGAACTTTTTTATTTACAATTAAAACGAAAACAAAATACACTTACTGATTATAACACCACATAAAAAGTATGTTTAGTCCCAATAATGAGACCAGTAAGCTAATATGTATACACCGTTATTTAAAATAAAAATTATGACACGCCTGTAAAAAAATCAAAATCTATATAAAATATTTGTAAAAATTCGGGAAAAGCAATTAATATAAAAGCAGAATTATAATTAAAAGTTCTGTTATGAATTATATACATGTAGTTGTTATGAAATTATATTAATGTAAATATACTCTGCAATGTAAAGTTATATACACGTTGTAAGAAAGGTAACTTAAAAATGCTTCATATCATATCATAGAAGCTCTACACTATCACGATGTCTTAGAACTGTTTACCATTGTCTTGTCAATTGTCAATTGAACTTGTCAAACCTCGAAATAGTAATGACTTTCATTGGATGATTCTGGCAAGTACGAAGGTAGATTTGCTCATTGGTTTTACTTGCGGTAATTGCAAAAAGAAATAGAATAAATAACCAACCTAAAAGTTCATTTTTAAGTGTGTTTGTTAACAAGATAATTATAAAAATTATATAAAAGATGGATTTTAATCAAACACGTCAAAAAATATATTGTAACATTAACATGATCATTTTGTCTAAGTAAATTTAAATAGTTAAGAATCTATTATTTCTCATAGTTTTTCAATAGCACAATTGATTTTAAACAAGAGAATAACGATGACTTTTAATAAAAGTAGAATAAGCTGGTCCAAAAACTGTAATTTATCACTTCATGTTTGCACTCTTTATGTCATTGAAATATTGAACGTTTTTGAAACAATTTGAATACAGCCAAGTTTGTCTTTGTTTATGCTTTCAGAAGGAAGCCGAGTTAAACTCGCCTTTAAGAGCCAATACATTTATGTAGTCTTTTCCTCTTCCATTGTAATTTCAATATTTTCATACAGGTGTATTGGTTCTGATACTTGTCTGTCAAGTCATTGAAAGTATAGGCTGTTCCTCCATTGAAATGTTACTGTCAGATTTATCATCCTCTGTACTAGAATAAAATTGATTCTACAATAATATTATTGTATTATTAACCTTCAAAGCACATATCTTTGCAACATAAACTATCACGAGTGCAATCAATTTAACAAAAATGCATTACAAAACATCTAATAAGGAATTACACATTTATAAGCTATAACTAACAGCCAATGAAAACTGAACCTAAATGATCTCGTAAATGAACTCACACATTTTTGATTATGAGAGAATGTTTAGCCTAAATTTCACAAGTGATTTCACCAGTATTTACAGATATTCTTCTAGAAATGTATAAAATTGTCAAATGAAAGTTTAATAAACTATGATATTCTAAACAAAATAAGGGAGTGTTGACATAACGGTCCAGACCTCCGCCTCTCAACCGAGGAATAGTGGTGGGCTCAAGCCCATCCATGTTGATTGTTGAACACATATTCTTTGTGAATAAATTATTATTAAGTTGATTTACCCTAAAATGAGTCCTATATTTGACAATTTATCAATCACATGTGCAAGAGGCACGTGGAATCATTTCATAACATAGTCAATGCAGTATGCAATGGTGGACATACACAAGTCATTGCAATGAATTCGAAATTACAAATTATTAGGCTTAATTATAAAATAATCCTTTTTAATTTACTTACTATTGTTTTCCCAGCAGATTTTTTTCAACAAAATGGCGGGTGCACATGTGTGTACATTCGGAATACTTCTATTTGATCCATACATAGACTTAGACTGTCAATAAGCAGTTAGCAGTAGGCAGTGAGCAGCAGGCTGTCCAGTTAGCAATAGGCAGTGAGCAGTAGGCTGTCGTTTATGGAATTCCGTACCCATGTGATGAAAATAACGTTTAAAGTAACATTTGTATTAAGTATCATGTTACCCACTCTTTATTTTATGTTAATCAGTCATATTGTTACTATTGTGTATTGTGACGTCGCTTCTCATGAAAGTGATTGTTGCTATTAAGTTGTCGACCCATAAAAAAGCAAAATCGAAAGAGGTATGGCACATAACCATGTCAATTTACTCTTAAAACGTTTAAACACATTGAAATTAGTTGTCAAAAATGAAATAAACAACATTAATTTAGTGATTATAAATACATATACTTTAAAACGGCATAGTGTCATTAATAATTAAGGGGAGGAAACTCTCACTGCCTTCTATAATGCAACTTTTGACGATTATATCCCTTTCTCAATGACTTGTATATTGTTTTTGTTTAACACGACTCAGAAAGACTATATTTGAAACATGTCTATTATAATAATAAATGGTTTAAAATGAAAATTTAATATATTTAAGCTACAAAACAAACACGTATGCCTCAACAGTAATTTTTACATCTGTTTTACAGTATCAATAAATATAGTACGAACAATATTTTTTTAACTGAATATTGCAATTGATAAATTAAATATTATCTCCGTGTGTACATGTATCAATAAATTGAATTTGATCTTTCTGTTGTATTGATGAATTAAATTATATTAAGCTTAAATAAATGTGCTCGTCTTTTGTATTAATTTAAATAAATTATGATCTTTTAAGTATTAATAAATTAATTAATAATCTCCTGTTGTATCACTAATCAAATACAATATACTGTTGAATCAAGATATAAAGCACTATCTTTAAACGAAAGAAAGTGATAGGAAAACACAATGTGGAAAACAAATTTGCAAGATTCAATAATAAATGCACTAATATATTAATTATATTTCAACATGTACATATGATAAACACTACAGTATCTAGATAGAATTTTATCGAAATTAATGCTTGTGCGTGTGCATGTGCGTGCGTGCGCCGTGTGTGTGTGCATGTGTTTGTGTGGTGTTTTTTTTTTTCTTGTTTTTTTTTTTTTTTTTTTGGGGGGGGGGGGTGTCTTTTCATACTTTACAGATCCAGGGTTTAAATGTCGCATGTGTCATGGCGGAAAATAAATGTACGATGCTGTGTGCGGTCTTAAACTAACTTTAACTAAACTTCAGTTAGATTTTATTACCGCAATTTACTTAAGCTTATATTTTAGTTAAAACACAGATGAAATACAAAGCGTTAAATATCCTCTTAATGTTGGTCAATACGGGCAATAATTATACACACAGTCACGTTTTTATTGCATTTAAAACAGGATATACGCTTGCATAAATAATGCATTATGGTAAATAGTGCCGTATATATTGTTTGTTTTAACCAATAAAATAAATTCTAATTATAAAATTAGACACTTTTAAATCGTCACTGTTTTGATATTTTAATATCTTTTAAGATCGTGCCTCCTTACTTCCGGGATGAAATTCACGTAACGATACGATGCAAATAAATCGTTAGATGTTGATGTTTATAGAAGATAAATGTTTTGTTTTGGTTACAGTTTTTTGTCATATATTTGACATATGCATAATTATACATAATTATATTCAGAATTTGTCGCGTGAAATAACAAACAGTAATTAAAATCAAAATGAATTATTGGGCCAGCCTTAAAATCATCTTTGTTTCCCCTCCCGCGACCAGTCCCTTTTTGGGGAGGATATGGAGGAAGGTAAAATATTGTTTATCCAAAATATTATTTTTAGGTCCATGGTGCAACCTAAGTAGAACCTGAGATTATATAAAATTTAGGATGAAAGCAAATTGCAGGATTTGAACCCAAAGAAACGCAAGTCAGTGGTCTTAACCATTCATTCAAGGATGATCATCAACAACAACAGCAACGTCACCATCATTATTATCATCATCATCATCATCATCATCATCATTGTCATCATACTTTTGATATGATACGAATAGTGCTAGTAATTACTGCTATCATCATCATCATCCACCCCATCCTCAAATTCGCCCCACATCAGCACAAAAATCACCATACATAGCATTATATTAGTGTGTGCTTTTTGTTAAAATTTCATTTATATAAAAAATATGCAGTTTTATTCTGTAAGTATATAATGATTTTTTATTCATTCATAATTCTGTCATCCTAAGAGAGAACAATGAATAAACTAAACGTTCGCTTTATGACCCTTGAACGGAGGTCAATTTTGAGTTGCTCTATATACGAGTACATATAATTTTCATATCCGCTTCCCCCTAAGAAACCCTCTTGACAACAACGTCTCTTCTTAAGAAAGTCAAGCATTGTATATGTACATTTGATAAACTATTAGAATAAGTACAAAGAAATGGTCAAAAGTAATCGGTTTACCGGTCACTCGAATTTAACTTCCTGTTTCTGGTTCAGCGTGAGATTTTTTTTCGGAAACTTACTTTATAGGAACAAGACTTTAGTGTTAAACTCAACGTGAAAAATGTGTTTAAGAAACTATTGTTTTGTGATTATTTTGAAGATAATATGTGACAACATATATATGACAGGTAAGTATTTTGTTAGTAGTTTGTTTTATAATATTTATTTGTGGTTTAGATTTATTAGCCGTGTTTCTTTGAACAGTGCGTTAAAACGTACATGTAACACCGGCCAATATAGGTTCGGTATCAGAATTATGATAATCGATTGTTATTATTGTTAAAACATGTATATAATCATTCACATTTTCCTTCATCTCTACCTACCTTCTCAAGAAAACACTGTCAAAAGCTGAGGGATAAACGTCGGAGGTGTAGTCAATTTGCCTTTCAGCCAAGAGGTTTCTATCCTCAATTGCATAATGACTGATTTTTACGACACCAGTACTAAATAGGTCATGGACATTTAGTCAAAAATGATCTAATTAAGCTTTGAGGTGTTATCAAAATAGAGCTGGTAAATAATTAAGTTCATTAACGAATTTATGTATGTCATATTAGTTTGTTGAATGTTGTGTTAAATACTAAAATCGTTAAACATCCTTTGCTCCAATTTATAATTAAAAAAATGTTCGAACGTGTCTAAATGTTTTATAACGTAAAATGTCAAATTCGTTACTAATTCAAATAACTTATATGTATGTGAGTTCTTTACATTGATTAATTAAATATAAGGAATGATACTATTTTATAGTTACAAAAGGTTCGTATGGTTTTAACTGAATGCCCGTTTGCTAAACATATCCAACCCATTTTGTAAATAACGCATTTTTTCTTTCTTTTTTTTCAAAATGTACCTACTTTCAACAAATGATAAAAATTTCATAGTTCATAATCTGATTTATAAATAATCAAATATATTCGGGCAAGATTAACTACTTATGACAGTACTTACTTCTTCCTGTTTTAGTTCAATAGCAGTCTTACCTTTCAGACGGTTCAGTACATTGTAGATCAATCTTAATTATTTATTCTTATACCGTAAAATCAGTTATAACCTGTTTTGAGTGTTGTCATTTTCCGTCGCCAAGTGAAAGGAATTCAGTATCAAAAGTAGAATTGAGTATCAAGCAGTGTAAATATTCAAATCATCTTCTTTCACTTTTTTATTAAATTTGCTCATTAACATATTCTTTTTTTAAAGCAACACGAACTTTATTTAAAAGTAGTCTTTTCAAGATTCGCTGGCTTTCATGTAGTAATTTTTTATTAAAATTGTGTGTTCTTCCTTTATTTACACAGTATTTTCCGCATAACGTAATCTAGTACGGAGGTAAATGTTTTCAAACATTTTTTCTGTGCATCAATTTAAAGCTGCATGTCTCCAGATGAGCCAAAAACATCAATAAATAAATTTTGAGAAATATGCACTAAAATATTTTGAATTCCTTTTGAATCTTTTTGATTCATCTGAAATCTATTTTGCATCCGTGCGTTTTGCGGTGTTGTTTTCATGAACTTCAAGGCTTTTTCAAAGCAGCCTTTATACAAACTGGTACAAACATGTTTATTATATTTCAAATACTTTGCAAGATAAGTGATATAAAATGACTGGTAAAATACGTGGAAATTACTAGTAAGTGCCGTAATTGATTTATTTTTTCCAAATGAGGAAAAACTGTGCAGTTTGGCGTAGATTACCGTTCTCAGGTCGGCAACCTCCTTCTGTTAGAGATACAGATAATTATAAAGAAACTGTTAACTTTTCTATTGTTAGCACAAAACAAACATTTGTCAAGGTGACCACGCGATAAACGTGTCTACATTCTAACCCGATGGTCTTTGATTTTATTCTTTCTTTGATCTTTTTAATTTTAGGAAATACTCGACATGTAGGGCCTGAAATGCTATTAGTTTGATTTACTTTCTTTCTTTCCAGGGGGAGCATGCACGGCAGGTCCTGGTGACGTGAAAACATTTGGCCCAGATTGTCAATACCAGTGTCATTGTAAAAATGGTGCTGCGTGTGATGAGGACACCGGATATTGTCAAAACAACTGTGACGTCAAATGGTACGGGCCAGGCTGTCAACTCAGTAAGTTTAATATAAGGTTGTTTTTTACTTTAGCTTTTTGATAGTTCTTATGACTGTATATTTTCTGTTCACTCTTTGAAATTCATGCATTTCTTATGGCAGAGTTTTACCAACTGTAACAACATTAATATTGGATCGTTATATTTAACAACGGTATTTAATGATGTTTAAAAACAGCGATATTTACCCATTTTTTACAAAATTGTAAAACTATTTTACGCAAGGCACATCAAACGGAAGTCATATATTATCACATCTTTCAGGCGATTTGGCGGAAACAGAAATGGCCAGGCATTTAGACAATGTCCTGTTAAATATTTGGGCTCACTATGCCAACGATGGCGATAAAGCAACGTGTAGTTATACTAATATTGCGACGGCTGGGTTGTCTAGAACACGACCTCCATGGTGGAGAGTTCAAACACCAAAACTTGAAACCATATGGGAAATTACATTTCTGACCAAAGAAGAATACTTACGTGTGTATACTATTGGATTTTAATAATTCATTCTATGGTAAAAAAGACAACGGAAATTAAAATAATAATATTAAATCGAAAGCGTTTCAAAAATCGTATCAATAAGTGCTATTCTTGTCTGCAAATAACAGGGGGGGAATAATTTAGCATACAGCAAGAAATCATATTTAAGAATTGTTTATTCTACTTTTGAAATTTCTGTACTTTAGTGTATATGTATAAAACGCTAGTATTCAAAACAAAAGTTCATTTACCTACTGTACCACTCATACAGCTGGTAAACATAACATTTTGAAGAAATTGTTGTCCTCATACTTTCAGATATATAGTTGAACCTCCCCTCCCCTTTTAAGACATAGAGCTTTGTTCTTGGTTTTAGCTTTTAATTGATATGATTTGTTCTTAAATGAATCGTTACAATAACCTAACATATATTGCTAGTAAGTTCAAACCATGTTAAATCGGACAGATGCAAGTTTCTAAATTTATAATGTCAGTTTCTTAAAGTATTATTATAATATCGTATAACAATTCATCACAACAAATTCATGGTTCAAATTATACATTCGAGCATACTTTTAACAGATCTTGTGTGAAAGATACCTTTTAAAGATTTGATAAAAAAAAATCAAACTTTTAAAGTGTGAAAAAAACACTAAACAAAACGTTAAACTATAAAGAGATAATGGTGGGGTGTAAAATTACCACTCTGCTTTAAAAGCACTTGTTAAATGTATGTTTTCGATGCGTTAATGTGATGTTTTGCGGACCTCGTGTTCACTGTCCTGTAACCAATAATGAGTAGCACTCACAAACGACGTCACGCAAAAAAGTAAATACATATATTCATACATTTTCATTTGCTATATTATCTAGATTATTTCAAAGGATTCAAAGTTACAGTAGAAACTGCCCCAGCGGATAAAGCCGGGGATGGGAAATATTATCCACCGGAAACGGAAGTTAAGCTGTGTTATCAGCACGATAATTCCGTGCCTTCTAACGAATCCATCCATGTCACGTGCGGTACACCGCTGACAGGAAATGTCGTAAGAATAGAACTGGCAAGCACATATAGTCAGCTAGTGTTATGTGACGTCAGAGTATACGGCGGTAAGATATGTCTTGTTTGTTATACTTACATTTATTCATAGAGAAAATTAATGTATTTGATACTAATAAAACGTTTTTACGTCACGAGCACTTGTACATGTATTTCAATGTGGTAATTGTTGGGCACCTGCTATCATATTCTGCATTCTCGATATTTAATGTCCCAACATCTCCTTTTGACGAAACATACAACATAAAAAAATGTCTTCTATCATTTTCTCCATCTTTAATATTCTGCAGGGCGCAATTTGGCTTTTAAGAAGAACGTTACATTTAGTGCGGCAATGGACGAGGATCTCTATCCTGCAACATTGGTAGTGGATGGTGATTCTAGAAACAGCTCTTTAGACTATTGTTTTTCTACAATACAGAGTACCTCCGATTATTGGGTTACAGTGGATTTAGGCCACCTTGCGTTTATTAATCGTATCAAAATCTCCGAATACAATGACGGTTTGTATTTGATCAAATTAAAAACTGTAATTGTAAATCATTATAGTTATTATAAGCTTATAAGCAAATAAGCAGGGGAGTAAATATTTTAACTCATAAGTCATTTCTTATTATATTTAATTTTAGAAATTTTAAAAAAGGATATGGTTATAGAAAGAGATAAAACCATGGTTTTGTCCGGTCGTTTCTGCATAATATTTCACGTGTGCATATTGTTATCGTATTGATTAAATATTATAGTTATAATCGTTTTATTTTAATATTTTGATAAGGAAAAACATAATTAAATATTTCTATTCAGTTCATTTTTACATGCACATAGACACTTTATGTAAAATATTTCTATTCAATTAATCAATTCATTTCAACATGCACATTGACCGATAATGAATCATATAATTTTTATTCACCAGCAGACATGAGGTAATTTTATTTGTTATGAAAATAATAATTATTGCTTCACTAAATGAGACTTTTGAATATCATTCTTTTGGTTCATATTTATTCAGAACGAATACGAGACTATGGAATATATGTGTCAAATACAACGGAACCGACGGACGCCGTGTTGGCATACTCGGATTATAGTAAAAATCCACCAAATCTGGAGGTTTCATTGCACGCGACCGGACAATTCGTCAAACTAGAGAGGCCTAAAAATCGGGATGCAACAGTAATCTGTGAACTCGAAATATACGGAGGTAAATTTTAATAAAAATATTAAATTATCATAGTTATTAAAGATTCTGTACACAATTTATATGGTATTTTAGCATAACTCTAATGCTCAAATGAAGATTTACCAATATTATTAGTTTCAAAAAGCATTATTTGTAAAGATATTACCGAATTTACTTTTCATGTTGATAAAGGGAGGTAGTTAGAAATTTATTTCTATAAAGTCTAAGTCATTTTTTTTCAATAAGAAATGAATGCATATATCTAAATGATTACATATAATGTGGAAAAATATTTGCAGAACATATTTTAAATAGTCTTCGATGTTTGAAGCATAATTATATAATAATACAGTGTATAAGATTTCACTTAAGTGTTGTAACAGCGTTAATTACAACATACAGAATCTTGAATTATCTAAGCAGTAAATTCGTTAAGAAATGGGTTATGTTATTTTATAATAACATAAAATTTTCAAATAAGGGTAGGCGTGAGTTGTTTAATGATAGTGTACACATAAACGAAATGAATGATACATTACGTGCAGATGTACTTAACCCCGTGATGTCCGTGACGGCAACATCACGGAAAAAATAATTTTCTGTCACGGCCAATATCACGATTATGTTATTTTGTTAAGTTACTTGACTTATTGAAATGTAAGTTACAAAATGTGAGTTTTAGTAATAATAATAATAATAATAGAAGTGAACAGATTCATCCACTTGTTCTCGGCAGTTTTCGAATTATAAAATGTAGATATTTTTGTGTTAATAAAAAACGCAAATAAATTTTATCCTGTTTAATTATAATTCTAAAATGGAGTGGGAGGCTGCAATTGTTTCATAGTTAGTATGGTAAATTGTTTTCAGAATGCTCGGCAGGGAAATGCGGGTTTAACTGTTTAACAGAATGTCATTGCAAGACATTTGAAGAAAGAGTGACTGGGGTGTGTACTTCCGGTTGCGAAGCACGATGGACCGGTCCAGGATTAGAGTGTATAAATAGTAAGTTACAATTATCTAATTGTCCAATATCTCTTCACATTTATTTGCAGACGACAAACATATAAATAATTATGACTGTTGTTAAGATAATTGAGTTTTAAAGGAACCCAATGTCACAAACATCCAAAATATGTATGACGTCATGAATTCAGATTTAAGCTAAAAATATATTATTATATTTATTCTTTTTTTTAATTCGATGTTAGAAATGAATTTTTATTGACAATTTTATGATCACTTAATGTGATTACATTATATTCTCCCTTTTAAACTGCCATCAATATAACTTTATAAATATAAATTGTTCCAATAATAAAAAAAAAAATTTTCACCAAAAAGATCTATGATTATAAAACGTTTTTAAAATGTGAATGCTTGATAAATAAATAGCAATTGAAAGTCGCAATTTTGTTTCTGTGTTAACAGAAACCAACCGATGAGTAGTTTGAAATACTTTTTGGGGAATTCCTAACATATTCCTGAAATTAGCATTAAGAATGAAACCAAAACTGATTTTTTGTATTTTTTTATGGTTAATATCAAGCTTGTCGGATGTACATCGCATAACGAATCATGTTGTTAAATAAATATAATTTCACCATTTTGATTTTGTGTTTTTTTTTTTTGTTTTTTTGTTTTTTTGGTTGTTTTTTTTTTTTTGGGGGGGGGGCGGGCGGGTTGAATTGGTAGTCCAGTGGAACAATTATAGTTTCCATTAATACATTTTTCCTGATTTTAAAAATGTATCGTATGTATGCAACGAATTCTAAAAACTGGATACATTTTCAATATACATGAATTGTTCTTTATATACATTGTACTATAAGTCTTTGTTAGATATTACACGTATATTTATTTATTTATTTATTTATTTATTTACTTATTTATTTATTTATTTACTTATTTATTTATTTATTTATTTATTTATTTATTTATTTATTTATTTTATTTATTTATTTATTTATTTATTTATTTATTTATTTATTTATTTATTTATTTTATTTATTTATTTATTTATTTATTTATTTATTTGCTTTTTTATTCCTTTGTCTGCATGAATGCTATTGCTATTTCTGAAATAGAGCTAACATATTCCTATAGATTGTGACGAAACTCATTGGGGAGAACAATGCACACTCCAGTGTGGACGCTGCAAAGACTTTCAGCCATGTGATGTAGTAACCGGATATTGTAAATCCGGATGTCAAAATGGTACCTTGGATACGCCTTTGTGTGATACTGGTATGAAATGTTAAAATATAATTTTTACAACTTTCTCAATCGTTTGTATATGATTAATATTTCACCGAGAAGCGTTAGATATTTTGTAGAGTTAGCAAAAAGTGATGTGACAGATGTATGATAAAACACTGTCAAAATCTATTCATTCATTGAAAGCACTGTAACATCGCACTTTGGGGTCAAACCCCAAAGTGCGTTACACTTCGCACCGCACTTTGGGGTCAAACGCACTTTGGGGTCAAAATCGAGAAAGTGACCCCAAAGTGCGTAATTATGCTACATATCAACGCACTTTGGATTCAAAAGTTCTGAAGGTGTCAACTGAGTTCTGCTTAAATACTGAGTTCTGACTTATTTTCGATCTGCGACATTGAAATATTTGAGATGGAGTTCAAGATGGTGGTTTGATGCTTCAGTAATGAAAGTTTCATTAATTTTACCACCTGAAATATCTAAAATTGTGTCCATATAACAAAGTACTTTGTACATAAATTGTTAATGTATCCTAAAATTAAAAGATGCTGCAAAAATATCACGTTCTGTCAGTCATTTACTTGATAACTTTTTGTGCCAGATTAAGCCCCATTTTAGATAAGATGGGGATGAAATAAAATGCAGTTAATATTTTTTTCCTAAAAGAAACTATAAAATACTCTATTGCAATGTTCTGGTGAAATGTCCAGTTTTTAGACCAGACTATAAATAGTGATTTTTACAAATACATTATTAAGTTTATAAACAAACTTAAGTTTTTTGTAAGCTCCGTAACAACCGTTCGCCAGAGGCTTTATAATGGGAAATCTTACATACTTCTTTAGAAAGGACAAACATAAATTTTTAATGTTTAAATAATAGTATCAGAGAAATTAAAGATACTTGTTACCTGAATAAAGTTACGATAAATGTGAAAAAATTATCACAAAAGTTACAAAATATAAACAATATAGTATTTGACTTCCATATAAAATAAAAATACTAATTCACTATAACTGTACTCCTTGCCAAAAAGCAACAGATGAAAAGGATGCTTCAGATAATTGGCAAATGGGTTACTTTTTTGATACTATTGACGTACACCAAAATTTAAAAAAAACTTAAGAAATACAAATAAAAGCACAATAGCACAATGGGCCTTTATAACGTTATCTTTATAATATCAGGGTGATCGGGACCCCACCATCCAGTCTGGGATAAATCTGACTGTCGATTAGTGGAATATATACATGTCAGACTGTTTTGGCGAGAAGATTTTTGCTAAATCATTTACATCAGTGATAAATAACAGGTTTATCGTGAACAAAATACCTCGAAATTAATAAGGATTACAAAATTGAAACCCTAAAATTCTAAAGAATTATTTGACACCTAGTCAAGTTTCTTAAATGTCACATTTAGATAAGCTAAATAAATGACCATTTCAACCTATAATCAGGCACAATTTTTAATGAAATGTCTTATTAAGATTTCACAGAATTTATACCTTTGTCTATGAAAATGTAAAATAAACGGGAAAATGATGAAATAAGTTGTAAACAATGGAGTTAATGAAAGGTGTACATCCTTTGGAATAAATGGAAAATGTAAGAAAAATATATTATGAGCTTATTAATTGATACAAATTCTTTATTTGATGAAAGTTCTTCACTCATTTAAAATCCCTATCGATTCTACTATAATTCACATATTTTGCCTCTATTCAATACCTTGATTTTTGTTTACCATTGGCTTTGACTACAATATATTATTTGAAACATCATGATAATTCATTTTATTGATTGATTTTTTATGACCCCAAAATGCGGTCGCTTGTCTGATGTTAAAAAATGCATATGTACCTGTTTAACGCACTTTTGGGTCAAACTTGGACCCCGAAGTGCGTAACGCACTCTGGAGTCGAACCCCAAAGTGCGTTTGACCCCAAAGTGCGGTGTTACAAAGCACCAGTCTTTAGAAATGATTTTTTCAAACTATAGTCAAACCCTGTTTATGAAGGCCATCTCTTGGGGATACGGAACCTGACATTTATAGAAAACTGGTCTTTATTTGAAGCTTGCTCGGTTCTATTTATAATATATATTTCAATGAAAGGTTGTTGGGAAGTGGCCTTTATTTACAGGATCTATGGTCTTTTACATAGGTTTGACTGTATATTTCAATTAATTTAGAGCATACAAATTTGACCAGGTCATAAATAATGAAAATTAATCCTTTTAAAATTGCTTGATTTTAAGATAACGCATGTAACATGACTGAGACACCTTCCGATTCTGAGCAAAGATTTGCATATATTAAGTATATAATACTCACGATAAGAATGTCTAAATATGTTGTCTCGTCAGAATAATCAATTGTTTGGAGCTTTTAGTGTTATGACGTCTATAGATAATTTTGTTTGTTTCTTATTTAATGTAAAGATAGATCATGTTCAAATTCGATAATTGAAAACAGCTGGTAATTAATATACAGTCTCTTTTGAAATGTAAAATAAACATTTTTTGAATACACACAGAGAAAACATGCGACGTTTTAAACTCTACACACTACAGGTAATCACAGGATGATAACATATTGTACTTAAAAAAAAACTGGCAGTTTGAATAACAATAAAACAAATTAATTTGACAAGTTATATGAAATGCAGCTTTCCAAACATATAGTTTATACATTTTACTAAAACCTGTAGTTTAAATCATTTACTTTTTCGACATATTATATTAAGGAAGAATTAACTAGATTTCAAATAAACGACCTTCAAAATTAATTTGATTGCACGAAGATAAAGATATAGTGATAACATCGTGACACCATATTGGCCCATCACGGAAATACTTTAAAATATTTAAAACTTTCGTTTATGATTCATACCGAAGTACTACAATACAGATAACTATTCATTATACACAAACAAAACATGAATTCATGTCAATGTATTTATTTAGTAAAATGTCTGTTCAAAAGTTTTTACAATCAGAACATGTACAAACAAACATTTATATGCCTAACATATGTCAATGTTGATTTTTGTGGTTGTTGTTGTTGTTTTTTTATTTTGGTGTTGTTGTTTTTTTTAATTCATTAAAAAATATGTCTAATTTCGGCATTTCCACGTTTTGTTATTTCATTTTTTCCATTTTTATATATTAAGAATAATCGTTCTTTTCATATAAAAATGGTACAATGTAAGTAACTTCCGGTAACAAAGGTTGTCTCCCCTGACAGTGTGACTGACGGGGAATGAAATAAATACGCAGCATTTTTATGTAATTACATGATGTAAAAATGAAGTATTTTGGCACACAAACTTAACACTCATATTATGGTTAAAACTTTAGATTGCCCCAATGGTACGTTTGGTGAGAATTGCACGCTTGAATGCAGCGGTAACTGTAACGATGGAGACGCGTGTAGAAAAACAGACGGACACTGCGAGAGAGGCTGTAGCCCTGGTTTTACAGGCGACAAATGTGACACAAGTAAAAGGAGATGTTTTCTTACATTTTTATGCAAGCCTGTTTGTATATTTATGTAAATAACCGAAAGGAATTGTTGCAATATAGATCCGAAATTATTGTCATAAATATTGATTATTAAATATGCACATTTTCTTGAAACAACATCTGTTTGTAAAACATGTTCATCCATAATAAATATTGAAACAAAACAATTTAGAAAGATAGGTTGTCTTTAAAAAAATTTAATGACAAAAAAATACTGCTAATTCATACAATTCCAGCATTTTTATTAGTACTCCGTTTAACTCAAACAAATGGATGCATATACATTTTCTTATTTATTTATTTATTTATTTATTTATTTATTTATGTATTTTATTTTATTTTATTTTATTTTATTTTATTTTATTTTATTTTATTTATCTATTTATTTAATTTATCTATTTATTTTATTTATCTATTTATTTTATTTATTTATTTATTTATTTATTTATTTATTTATTTATTTATTTGTATAGAGTGTCCAAGAGGATCCTATGGATTCAACTGCTCATCCACGTGTAGCGTTAATTGTGCAAGCGTTTTCTCAGACTGTGATCATATTAATGGATCTTGTCTTGATGGATGCTTGCCAGGCTGGGAAGGATCGCGATGTGAAAAGGGTAAACATGTGTATCCGGAAAATGTTGCAATTATCGCGACTAAATCGAAATTAATTTGTTTGTTTTTGGTGTATTTTAGATATTGTTTTGTTTTTTGTTTGCTTGCTTGTTTGTTTGTGTGTTTTGATAGTTCAAGTGTTTTAAGTAACATCGGTTCTATTATTAGCATAAAGCGGTTTCTAGCTTAACTCGTATGTGCTCCTCAATGCATTACATCAGGCAGGGACTGGCACCTGAGTAGAACCACTAACATCCGTAAGTTAGCTTGTCATGATAGCTTCCAAAAACCGTGACGGGTCTCGAACGAACAGTTTGAGGGACAAGTTCACCAGTCATACTAAATGGACATTAAATAAAATTTAAAAAAGAGAGAAAATGAACATATATGCTTAGTAGTATTTATCTAAGGGAGGAAATTCAGTTTCTATTGTTAATAAGAGATATGCGCATTTGAGTTTCCATAACATTATAGAAAAAAGTTTTATTTAAGTAACTTTTACAGGTGCAAATTAACTGGTAATACAATTAGTGTTGTGCTAATTCTGACTTTATAGTAGTGAAATAAGTTTCCTCTTACCTAAATTTGCTTTGTGCTATTTTAAGAATGTGATGCTGGATTTTGGGGTAAGAATTGTGTGGAAGTGTGCGGGCACTGTTTATCTGGAACATGTAATGCTAGAAATGGAGAGTGCAGTGGTGGCTGTGAAGCCGGGTACAAGACAACGCCTAAATGTGATCAAGGTAGGAGATCATTTTGTAGCATATACTTTGGTATTAAACACTCTTGGGTGAGTGACATTTGTTTACGGTAACACTGGGTCAGCGCTAATGGTACATGCTAGTTTTTCGACCGACGGGCGCCTGAAATCAGTTTAACTTCCTGCAAAATGTACAAGGAAGAACTGAATATAAGAAGAATTTCCATTGGTCATTTTAAAATTACAAACTGAAATCTTTGAATTCCATTGTCCATTTTGAAATAAAATGTAATGTTTATGCCATTCTAAAATATAATTTAAAGGTAAGTTCTAAAATGAAATGTAAAGGATAGTTCTTTATCACACACCCGTGCCGATCTCGCGACTCCGTAAATATGGTATTGCACGACCGTGCATATATTTTGACGTGAAGCCATTAGCGTTATACAAACATAGTGTAAAGACGCGCTAATTGTTAGCGTTATACTATAGGTGCGTCAATAAAAAATGACTCTTATTTCACTTTAAACGGTCTTTATTTTGGGTTTGTGATAAATAGAATATTAAATTCGTGTAAGTTCATTACTGAATTTATTGCACTCGTTGAATAAAATAATATTATGATCGCCAGAGGCTCGCATAATATAATTTTATTCAACTCGTGCAATAAATTCAGTATTGAACTTACACTCATTCAATATCCTCTATTTATCACTTAAACCAGGGCACAGGAGTGTAATAAAGTCATTTTATAAAAACGATATTACACTATAGGTGTAATAACACTTTGACGTGACGTCAATTGCGCTATATAGAAACATTGTGTTATTTAAAGTGCGCTAATGTTAGCGTTACACTATGGGCGCGTCTTTTGAAAAATTACTCATTTTAACAGTTTACTGTTCTTATTTTATATAATTATGTGATAAATAGAATATTATATTCGTGTAGATTCAATACTAAATTTATTGAACTCGTTGGATAAAACAATATTATGCTCGCCAGAGGCTCGCATAATATGATTTTATTCAACTCGTTCAATAAATTTAGTATTAAACTACACTCATTCAATATCCTCTATTTATTACATGTTTTCCGGTGGATTATAGAAATATTTGTCAGTGAAATATAAAACTGATATTTTCACTGTTTGAAACAGTGAAATTATCAAATTATCAATTTGATAAGTTCACTGTTTTGAATTTAATCCCCTTACGTTGTTTCAGTGAAATAGCAGCGTGCACAGTACTGGTTACCAACTTAATAATCAATTTCCTACGCAGTGATCTCCCCTTATCAGTACAGAGATCTCTGCCATCACAAACATTTTTTATCAATATTTTGATATTTTTTAGCTTTTGAATTTATTTCTCATTATCTGGCATAATTTTGATTTTTTTTTTTGGATAAATTATCACGAACGCAGGAACGAAAAGTTAAAAATAAAACAGAAAGAGGAAAATGACTTTAGTTTTTCTAAGTAACGGTAGATATATATATTTGAATTTCGACGTTACGTCATGTGACTTTCATCATCATGTGACGTCTGTGAAGGCAGTTATCACAATTTTGCCAAGGGAGGTAATCACTGTGAGAAGTTTGCTTAATAATTTGACGTCGTAAATAACGTTACGTTGTATTATTATTTGGCGCGTTTATCATTTAGTATTGGGTTAAAATGGCTTTTTACACATGTCTTTGCATTTACATGTAACAAAAAGAAAATTTGTTTAGTTTAGTGTAAGATCGAAATCTGTTGCATCTCGTGAACATTAAAAAGTTTTTTCTCGTGACAGAATGTGACATACATAGATATGGTGATAAATGCAACAGCTTTTGTAGTCCGAAATGTAAGAATGTTTGTGACAGGGTTAACGGTACATGCAGTAACTGCACTACCGGTTGGAAAGGAAGCAAGTGTTTGCAAGGTGAGATGATGGATATTTCTTTTCGGAAATATTGGGATTTTATTATTATTATTATTATTATTATTATAATTATTATTATTATTATTATTATTATTATTATTATTGTTATTGTTATTGATATTTTTATTATTATTATTATTATTATTATTATTATTATTATTATTATTATTATTATTATTATTATTATTATTATTATAATAATAATAATAATAATAATAATTATAATAATAATAATATAATTATTATTATTATTATTATTATTAGTAGTAGTAGTAGTAGTAGTAGTAGTAGTAGTAGTAGTGGTAGTAGTAGTAGTAGTAGTAGTAGTAGTAGTAGTAGTAGTAGTAGTAGTAGTAGTAGTAGTAGTAGTAGTAGTAGTAGTAGTAGTAGTAGTAGTAGTAGTAGTAGTAGTAGTAGTAGTAGTAGTAGTAGTAGTAGTAGTAGTAGTAGTAGTAGTAGTAGTAGTAGTAGTATTGTCATCATCATCATCATCATTATCATTTTTATTATTATTATTTTTAATATTATCCGGAATTGATTTTTCAGTATGCTTTTTATTATTATGTCCGCTAGTGTTTTGAAAGTAACTATTTTCGGGCTTAAATTTGAGATGTGGTTTTTGATGTGGTTTTTTTATCTCAGAGCTGGCTCTATCTATGACAGCGGAACGCTGGTGATTCTACATTTATGTACTCCGGTGTCCGTTCGTGCTTTGAAATAAAGCACGGAAGGGCACCTGAGGTCTTTCACAAGTAAAAGCGGAACCATATGACCTAAAATGTGTCAGTGTGACGTAAAACTTTGACGCAGTACTTTTAATTGCAACAAATAAGAGAAAGTTCAAAGTTCAAAACTAGCTACATTGTACATATTTAGTTTAAACGTACGATTTCAGACCTTGGAACTTACTCCTCGGAGCTTCTTCTTTGTATCCATTTTTCGTAGTTTCTGTAGAATTTATACTAGCCTAAAAGATGCTATTAAGCCTGTTCATGATATGTCATCTTTTTATCTTAAATATTCATTATGTAATAATTTTTTTAAAAATTAAAAACTCATGAAAAAACACACACCTTCAACTTTTAAGCCAGTTGTTTTCTGCAGAATGTGATAGCGGCGAATGGGGCGAAAATTGTGAGAATCAATGCGGGCATTGTTTAAATGGATCATGTGATACATCTGATGGCACGTGCGATGGAGGATGTTCACCAGGGTATAAAACAACAGACAGGTGCATAGAAAGTATGTGTTCATTTTTATTATAAATTCCTCCCTTGATTTTAAATGTGATGTTTTGCTCTTCGCACAGACAAGGTGTGATGATGGAGCTAATTGCTTCAGCTTTGTGAAGCAAATGTCAACATACTTTTAACAATGAAATGACTTATCTTATTAAATGTACAAAAGTACCAATTGTTCAAAATGTACTGGTTTGTTTTCATACGTAAGAAACAATGTACATGTATTACGTAATGTTCGAAAACATACACTTTTATTAAATTGTTATGTAACTTCTTTGTATACTATGACGTTATACCTGACGTCATATGACGTGTCAATATCCCTACCGTTAATAAACTTAAATTTATTAAATGAGTTTTTTTTCATGTGTACCTTATTATTAACAGAATGTCCAGCAGGGTGGTATGGAGCAGATTGTTTAAATGTTTGCAGTAACAATTGTAAAATAATTGGGGCATGCAATCATATCAATGGTCACTGTGATAATTGTAAACCCGGAAAACAAGGTGTCACTTGTGACAAAGGTAAATTAATCAATTTATATCAAATATCAAGATTATGTTGACATGGCCATTTATGACTAATCATAATAATTTGAATAGATTTATTTCAAAATAAAACTGCCAGAAGAAGAAATAGTAATAATTAAGGATTAATTGTATCGAACCATACATGTGCATTATGGGCTCAATTTTTGCAGCTTGGCTCTTCTTAAGGGGTGGTGTTGTGCAAAAGTTATATAATATTTAAAAGAAAAAAGCACCATACTACGTAATGATTTTTGTTTGATGTTTTTCGTTGCTGATTTCATTCTCTGACTTTCAATTGTTTTTTCTATAGCCTATGCAAACGTTCTTACAAATGCTATAGCTCGTTATGAATTAAAATCATAGATTAATTGTCATTTAACAGATTGTGACAACAGAACATATGGCGAAAATTGTTTACAGCCTTGTGGCGCATGCGTGAACAACGAGTCTTGTGACCCAATATCCGGTCATTGCAAACGAGGCTGCAGTATTGGATACAAGTACTCGCTTCTTTGTCAACATGGTACGTTTAGAAGGAATAAATATAGAAAGTTAGATTCGTAATTAAATAAAAGCTTCTTTTATTGATTGTTTTTTGATATGTTTACAAAGAGTCAATCCCAGTTTGATGATCCAACGATATCATGTCGTTTAAATGTTTCAACATCTTTAATAAATGATTAAGTCTACTTGTCAATTACAATAAATTTAGATTTTAAAGGGACTAAGGTTTAAAAGCCTAAAAACATAACATTTGAATTTGTTTACATAAATGAGCTTTGGCACTTTAACAGAAATTTATGCAAAAATTGTTAAGAAATATACTTTGAAATAAATTTAAAATCGTATTTTTATGCTTTTTTTAGCCCGATTTGAGTTTAAACGCTTTTCATTTTGAGACATTTTTTTACAATTTGAATAATTATTCTGGAAAATCTCAGTGCGCGAATGACCTGAAATTTTGCACAAAGATTAGTGGTCTAAACATACATCAAATGATACATTAATCTGGAAAAATATTTTCAGTCCCATCATGTCAAAAAACCTCAGCGGAGTCCCTTTAAGAGCAGTCTTCGAGGTTTTCTTACATTTAGAATTACACCCAGAGCAGACTTAAACAAAGCTTTTAAAATTTTAATTTCATTATAAGGTGGTTTATAAGGATACAATCAAATTATGGTCTAACAATAATAATTATGTCATATCTATAAAATTCAATGTTAACTTTCAGAATGTGAGGACGGTTATCATGGTTATAACTGCTCTGGCGTCTGTGGTAATTGTAAGCCGGGAACCACATGTGACAAAATCACTGGAGTGTGCAATGAAGGATGTTCGGAAAAGTACATGGGTAGCATATGTGTTGAAGGTGAGCGATTTAACACTGTCGAATGTACATTTGACAGTATGCAATTCCGTATATTGCGTTTAAGTTGAAGAACGTATGCCAAAATCTTTAAATCTTTAAGTTGTTCTGCAGTAACTGTTTTGTTATGTTCTGTAGAGATTAATTTATATGATCGTGACCTTACTAATGTGCCATATTCTAGTTTCATAGCAAATATTTAATTTATTGACAATAAACTCTTTTTAAGAAAATCGCCTGACTTAGTCTTCGAATAAATCCAATAATTTTGATATTTTAGCATATCGGTAATAATCTCTTTTCGGAGATATTCACAATTGCGTGAAATTTAAGAATCTAGTGGGCTGCACGCACGTTATTTGAAGCATATGTTACATTAAATGAAATACTAAATTCATTCAATTTCTAGTTCTGTTTTTAGTGCTTATTAAACTATCAGGATGAATTTTTCTATAAGCATATCGCTTTGATTGAACGACCTTTCAGTGTTCGATACACATTTTAGACGATGAACACGATTTCACAAAATATAGCAAAAAAAAAAAGAAAACATGTTTGTTTGTTTTCAGCAATGATACAAAAAAGTAAGGCTACAGATAGCTTCCCCGTGGCTGGTGTTGTCGGCGGCTTATTTGCTGCTGTTGTTGTCATAGCAATACTGGTGCTTGTTTGTTTGATGTGGAGACGAAAGAAACGGAAAATGCTCATGTAAAACACAATTTTAAACTTCATTTAATTTCATGGAATATCAATCTTTTTATTTTATTACATTATTACCAAAATCAGGGCTGACAAAATTTGTTATGAATTTTAACTTGAGTCAAATCGAAACGTAACTATTGACTGTTTGAAAAAAAAGCTAAGTAAATTGAGCCGCGTCACGACAAAACCAAAATAATGGGTTTGCGACCAGCATGGATCCAGACCAGCCTGCGCATCCGCGCAGTCTGATCAGGATCCATGCTGTTCGCTATCAGTTTCTCTACTTATTATAGGGTTTGTAAGCGAACAGCATGGATCCTGATCAGACTGCGCAGATGCGCAGGCTGGTCTGGATCCATGCTGGTCGCAAACCAATTATGTTGGTTTTGTCATGACGCGGCTCAAATATTATAATCAAACATATTTGTACATTAATTTTCAAAGCAGTATTATACTTCCTGAAATATGACGTAAAACTACAAAATAAAAGATAACTATACATTTATTATTTACTTATAAACGAAATATTGAGATGTATTGATGAAATAAACGTGTATTTTTATTTTCCTTATTTACATTGTAAAATAATCATTTTTCGCTGCAGTGAAACATATTTTACTGGTGTCTTTAGAATTATAAGGTCAAGAAAGAGAAAAAGTATGTCATAAACAGAAAACAAAAGTTTTTTTCTCTTTAAATACAAGATTTATTTTCATCTTGTGAAATGAAAATTATCATATTTCACTCGTACCTCACGTCACTTTTGAAATATTTATTTTCATATAAATTATGAATTATTTGTAGAAAAAAACTTTAATATCCTCTATAAATTTGACAGTGGGCTACACTTCATATTTTCTACAATAAATATATTTTATGATATTGGACGATCAACGAGGCGAATTGTGTTATAATATATTAAATGACTACATCAACTGTTTTACTAAAAAGCAAAGGAGAAACACATTTTAACTTGTTACTATAAATAACAGGGACATCCCAAATAGTGATGTTACATTAGATTCATCCCCACTCGATAACCTAAAGGGAGAGCGTGACGGAGATAAACAGAACAATATTTATGGAAATCAGGTCGATAAACAGGACAATGTTTATGAAAATTCGATAGATAAACAAAAGAACGTTTATGAAAACTCAGCTAATATACAAGCAGAGTTGGCTTTGTCAAAAGGTAAATACATGTACGTAACTCTTTTTAAACATATATTGATTGTTTTACACGAACCGTTTTCACATACGAAATGGTGGTCGGTCTGTTTCTATACCAGTGTTTATCTTTTTACAGCAATTTCTAATATTACAATGTATTATACATGTATTTACCCTTTTGTTTGCTGGGAAAATTGTCGTCTGCTATAATGTCTTCTGCTCAAATTTTGAATTTCTTCAAAAGAAAATCAACACTAGAAGGTGACTGTTACTCTTGGTTCTTGATAGGACTCTGAAGTGCATGACTTTTAGTCATATATTTAAAACAGTTAAATAAATATATTAACGGTTGTTTGCAATAAAAACATTGCCTACAGGACAAGAATATTAGGATTTATTATGCCTCACGTAAAAGTTTTACTATACAGCCTAATGTGACTTTAGATTGTGTTATTTCGGACTGAATTTCACCCGGTCCTAATTTTTTTGCAATATTTTCTATGGGCGAGTAATCTACAGAGAAATAAGAAAACGTAATGTTCTAGTTATTTCCTCTGATAAAAAAAAATCAAATGAGGAATGGCTCTTCGAGCGGTGTAAAAATTACAGTTCGGTATAATAAAAGAATAACCAATGTGAGGCACGTGGTATTTTTAAAATAAATGCTTACAACCATTTTTACTAGTTCATATAAACTGTGTAATCGCTTATATCATGCAAAGGCAAAATTCATTTTTCAACGTAAAGACGGTTTCACCACATTTTATCATTTATTAAAGCGTCTAGAAACTACAGTTCAAAAGGTACGGTCTCCATTCCGTTTGAAGAACAGCCGGATGACGTTTATTACAATGAGGGACCTGTTGGCACAAAATGGTCGGAGACTTCTATCTTGGTCGAAGAGCTTAAGAACTATGTAGATAAAATAACACGGAACGACAACAATCTCGAACAAGAATTTAAGGTATGTACATATATCAAAATTCGACTGATTGTGTATATTGAATAAATGCTTCAAAAAAGAATATTTTTTTACTGTAATTGGTTTTAGCATTATTTTAATTCTGAAATTATTCGTCTGAGAAGATTTGCTTTTATTTATTAGTCCATAGGGAGTATAGACTTTCATGAAGAAATAGACCTAAGATGGGAGAATGCGTTGATTACTGACGCATAGCGAAGCGGATAAAGCTGTATTTAGTTGGAGAGCTATATATCAAATTTTTCTGATATTGTTTTGTTTCAAACTTTCAAGCAATTTCTTTTGAAAGTGTTTTTTGTGTATTCTGTGATTCTGCATGACCTGTAGCGCAATCGTTAAAGATCTTTCATAGACGTCAACTCATAGGTTCGAATCCTGGTTCAAGTACCTTTTTTCTGTTCATATTAATTTTTAAATTGCTATTCTCTCAAAAATTTTCTTTTGCAAGTCTTTTTTTAGCATTCCGCAAACAAATCTCTTTAAAAATAAAGTGTTTTTCTTTTTCATTCTAAAAGTCAACACTACACGGGTTGATCACACAGATTTTCAGGATATGTGCATGTATCCTTTGTCTTGTATATTTGAGAGGAACCGAGTCCAGGTCAAACACATTGTCTTGTAGATTGCGCTGCATTTAACATTGATCCATAAACAGTAATGAAATGTATGAAGCAAACTAAAAGCATCAACTACAAAAACTATGACGATACAAAATATATTGGATTACTTGCGTGGCTTTTTATTCATTTTGGTTGACAATTTTCAGAAACTACCCGTCGGTTTACAGCACCCTACTACAGTGGCAACAAATCCCGGAAATGCTGGCAAAAACAGATATAAGGCTATGTATGCGTGTATGTATCAAATATTGTGTTTTTTTGAACAGTGTTAGTTTATACGTATGTTTTGTGGATATTTTTTGGGGGTGGGAGTGGGGTTTCTTTTGCGTACATGTTTATACGTTAGGGGCCAAAATATCCTTACCGAGCAGCTACTTTAATCAAAGTTACGATATTGCACTCGCTCAAATGGCTTACTTTGATTCATATATAGATTATATCTTTACAGCAGCCGTGTAAATATAATTTAAATATCACAATTATTCAATCAAAAACGACGTTTCGCTCTTGCAGTAATGTAACAAACTTTTAAAAATACACAATTGATTACGCTAAATTAAATACGAGTCATTTCATAAAAAAGAAACAAGATGACATTACTGATCTATGTCATACAGGCGTTAACTCACGAAAATTTACGAACTTTACCGAATATTTACGAACTTACTTGACTTTTCAATTATATAGCTGTATCCAGTAATTCTTATTAAGGAAATTCCAATATTATTTGTCACTTTACGAATATTCGTCGGTTCGCACTAGATTAACGTTCACGTTTGTTTGGTAAGTTTACGTCATTTTCTACGTTATTTATCAACTGATAAAGCTTATTAAAGCGAAACATGTTTTGATAGATGTGTTGGTTTTTTACCTATTTATTATCCTATTCCATTGGTTCGAATGAAAGTTCACAATTTCAGTGAAGTTTATCATAATTTGTTATTTCAGACGATCATTGTAGAGTTGTACTAAAATCGTTACCAGATAATCCATACAGTAATTATATTAATGCAGCCTTCATCAGGGTAAAATATCAAGTTTTCTACTCAGTGATTTGCTCAAATTTATCAGTGAAATGTAATGTTATATCCCACTGTTTCAGTCCAGTGAAGTTTTATATTTTGATGTGAATAGGTGATAACATAAGACTTATTCGTATTTGATATTCAAAATTTAAAAGTCTTCTTTAATGCCAATCATCTATGGAAACACATAATATTTATTTTAGTACGGGGCAGTTGCCAGTTTATGTAGAACTAGATTTTTATCCACTTGACATGATTAAATCATTTTACACATTTTGCATGTATACTTTACAAGACCCCCATCACGCATGAACTAATATTTTGTATCAAAATTAGTTGATTCTAAAAATTTATGTTTTATCCCTCAGGGTCACTTTAAGGAAAATGCGTACATAGCTGCCCAAGGTAAGTGATACGTTGCGATTATTTTTATGCTCTTGCAAGTAACTACACGTATAATTGTTAATACAAATATTAATTTATTTACTACTGCAACCAATGTCCAATGATGTACAAATAATTCATATCCGGGTAATAAGTTCTATTAAACGATGACTGAAACATTTTGAAAATGAAAAAAAAATGATGTTCCGCTTACTTCGGCAAATGCCGTATGGGTCTCACAAATATTGAGTCACATGACTATGATAAAAACAATCTTGTCAGTTGAGCGCTTTCCTAATGTACGAAAGGTGCCAAAATCTGCCGAATTGTCAGGAATTTTTCAACTGTTGGTGAAAGGTAGAACGTAAGCTTTGAAGTAGATATCTTTTAACTCTGCCTTTTTTTAAGAAACACTTTTTTGCAATGTTCTTGCAGTAATATGAAATGGTTGATATTATTTTATTTGCTGTTTTTCAATTTAAGGACCAATTGACTTTACGCTTGACGATTTTTGGAGAATGATTTGGGAAAAGGATATTCAAACTGTTGTTATGGCCACAAACTTAGTCGAACTAACTAAGGTATATTCATTACAAATTTATTTTGTATCTTTGTATCTTCCATTTGCAATAAAATGAAATAAATGTATATGTGTGCTTGTGTGTCGCGCGCGTGTGTGTGCGTGCGTGTGTGTGTTATACGTTAATAGATAGTCACAACCGAGAAAGCGAACGGTCTTGAAGACTGTAAGTAAGATATCATTTCGATGATATCGAAACTGATATAAAAATGTCTCAATTTCGAAGGATACAATTACTTATTTTAAGTAATTTGAAGATGTAAAGCAAATTGCACGGTACCTCGGTTTTGAAGTATCATCTGATAGACTGTTTATAACTGTAATTAAAGAAGGAGAATGGAATTTGCGACCATTGTATATGGGGGTACACTTCAGTTGAATACTATACATGCTTTTTGTTTGTATTTTCATATTTCGTTTTTTCCATAGATGAAATGCATAAAATACTGGCCAGATCTTGATGAAAGGTTGATGTATGGTTCGGTTATAGTGCAAACAGTATCTGAGGATATATTTGCTGAATTTACCATACGGACTTTAAAAGTTTCACATGAGGTGGGGAAATTTCTTTGTATCATTTGTTTTACTAAAATATGTTAATAATAAAGTATTTATATATAATGGCATTAATAACTGCTTTCAGGTTGTTACTTTTCCATCAGATAATAGTATTATAACGCTAAAAGGTTAATTTACTTGCTTGTCTGGAAACAATTGAAAATGTTACGTAACAAAGTTTCACTATACTGCATTACTGTCTTTATGAAAAGTATGACACAAACATATCTAGTGCCTAGAAGCGTAGCATGGTCATGTTCGTGAACGCGTTTATATTCAAATGACATAAATATGAGTATAAAAGCATTTCGGATACCATGCATAGGGATACTGAAGATGTAACGGTAAATCAGGGTCAGAATAAATTTGATACTTTCACTACACGGCGTTGTATCTTGTCTGTTACACTAATGGATAGTATAAATAATGTAGTGTATGTTGTTATACATATCGTGCACTGCCAATGTAAAATACGGCTTGTTAGCATGTAGTTTTAATTATCATGCCATTTATTGGAAATTTAAGTATTTTAATTTTAAGGCAAATTAGGAACATCAAAAAAAACCGGTGTCAAGTTTCTAAATATTTGCATGATCAAAGAGACCTAATGCTTAAATATGTTGTCACAATCCTTGTTATGACATGACATGACCAAAATTAAATTTCTAGCAGAACTGTTTGTTACATTTCTGCTATCATTCTCTGGTATTGAGAACTTATTGAACATTGCTTTTACTTACTTGTCAGGATAATCCAGGGATTGTTAGAACTGTGACACAGTTTCATTACACGGCATGGCCAGATAAAGATGTTCCTCGCAGCACGACTAGTTTATTACATTTCTGGTATCGTGTACGGAAACACGATGAGGAAAAGGAACATTCTTGGCTGGTCCATTGCAGGTTAGTTGTTTATTGGGAAAATATAAATAAAAGAATATAAGAAATATTTCGAAAGACTAAATGGCATAATTAATATTAGCCTGTATGTACGTAACGGCCGGGGTATCTGAAATTATAAATAAATCGAGTTAAACGCATGTCTTCTTTTCATTAATAATCATTAAGTTTATATAAGGAATTGTTTAAATGCATGACTGTACATCTGGATGAAATACACGTGACTGTCCTGATAAAGTGATATCCAAATGCACGTGATTGCATGAATGCACACATCTTTTAGAATGCGCCTTAAGTCACAATCTGTCTGCACTGTTCGCTATAAAGACTTAAAGAGTGGTAAGGGTAAGCTTGCGGTTACAGTCTAAATGAGATATACTTCGTTACTTATATCCGTATTTCAATGCTTGTATCATAGTTTCGGGACCTTTCTGTTGAAAAAGTGTCAGAGTTAAATCGTATACATATACATTCACAGTGCGGTAACTGGAGTACAGGTATCAGTTATCCGCACTCCAGATAATGCCCGTTGATTGGCTCATTTTTGTTGGGGTTTACATATTGTGACGGCAGAGAAAGGGAAAGCGGCAGAAATATCATATTCAGATGCTCGATCATTGGTTATTTTTTCCCGGGGTTTAAAATTGTGACAACAGGGAACGTGTTTTTATGTTTGACTATGATACAAAAGAGAAAGAACACCAAAACACTTGACAAGCTGATTTATACTCGGGGGATAGCCTCGTGTTTCGGTGCTCTTTCTATTACTTATAATATTTGAGAAACGTGACACATCCTCATTATCTTTGTTAACTTTTTCATACCTTATTGTAATTTTCTAGTTTACTAAATAAAGAATAAAGAAAATCCCTTTTAGACAGGGTTTTGAAAACGATATAGTACCTACATCAGCTAGTTTACATAATACTTCATATGAAACTGTAAAACTGTCTATGTTTTCTTTACAAACCGTGTAGTGCCGGAGTTGGAAGAACAGGGACTTTCACCGCTCTTGACATCTTATATGACCAAGGCATGGACCAGGGTTATGTGGACATTTTTGGGTGTGTCAGAGATCTCCGAGATCAAAGGATCTGTATGGTGCAAACAAAGGTAGATAACATAGTAAATGTTTGACCTATAGAGGCAGATGAATTCTCTCTTAATGTCTTCTTATGGCATAGTTTGAATTTTACTTGTAACCAGTTTTAAAGGAAATTAGTTAAAGAATATGTAACTAGTCCTTTCTAACTTTTATCTTCTTCACATTTATTTCACCATTTTTTAAAGTCGACTTTTTATACATCAACGACTGGCGAGTTTGTATCAGAAAAAAAAGTGGGTAATTATAAGTAAGGTACATTGCGCCGCTTGTGTACACTGTCCTCTCTTCAATTCAATTTCCTAAAATGAAATGCAAATTTAATTTCCATATAAATAGGACATTTCTATTTTTGTAAATAAAGCGCAAGACTCGGAATACTAAGTATAAAATAAAACGAAATGTGTAAATTATTCCGAACGAAATTGCTTTCCTGATTTTTTTTACTAAATATTTACGTGTTTCGGAATAATTTTCACTTGGCCGGCCATTCTTTTGTTCTTTAAGCCCCTGAAACGTTTTTATTTTTATTTCTCAAAAGTTTTATTTTTTTATTATGGTGTCCTGTTAAAGTTTTCAAATAATTTCTCATTGTCAAATTATCTTAAACGCATTTGCTTCTGTTGATTTTTGGCAATTAGTACTTTTAAATGATTTAATGTTTTGCATGTAAGTCCAATTATACAACTTTGTTTTCGTTTTGCTACTTTTATGACCCATAAAATTACATAATAGCGTTACTTACTTCTGGTGTTAAGCATTTAACGATGATTTACACTCTCTATAAAACTCATGTTTGACCGTTTTAAAGAAGAAAAACATTATTTGTTTTCCAAGGCATAATTTGCCTTTAATCATTAGTTGTCTAATTGTCGTACAAATGTTTCGTAAAAGGTCACTGTGTGGCGCCGTTATATGTCGCAACGACGCTAATAGTCCAGTCATTCTAGCCTGAAAATGGCCAAAGGTAGAAAAAATTGCAAAAGAATTTATTTCATGTTTTTTAGTATTTTTATATTATGTAGAATAACGTGATCACGGTTTAACTTATTTTGCTTTTTCGAAAAACACTCAATTATTTGAAATAAAACATGCCTTAAACGTTTGCTAGAATTAGACTGAATTGACAGAGCTTGTTTAGTTGTTCTACGTTTTGTCGTTAATATTGTTCGTTTCATTGTTTTAGATCCATTGAAGTCAAAAACATGTTGTAGAAACTTGTGGTATGATCAACTTGGCCACTTTGTTATATTTAGCTCATATTTGTCATATTTCGGGGGTCAAATATTACCCCACCCACTTTTTCAACAATGGCGACACATTCTCAAGTTTTTCTTTTAATATAACCATTGAAACTTATCATTATGTTGATGTATCTTAGGGATATTCTTTGAAAGTCATAATAAACAACAAAGAAAATAACTTTAAACCATTTAACTACATTCATGACAAAAGGGTAGATAATTTACTCCACCTTTTTCAAAAAGAAATAATGCAATTATTAAAATGCAAAATGACATAAATTATCCAAATCCTATTGTATACAAAACTATATCCTTAAGATTTGTTCTAAATTAATTTATTTTAATTAGTTCATTTTGTTTTTAAACCTTCATTTGATTTTATATCAAATGAAATTCATATGCATGTATGTTCATATGTTTTCATATATACACAAAAGCACCTGAATTGTGACATCTTAAAAAGTTTTCGCCCATTTTCATTGATGGATTTTGACACTTTCCCCACTGGAATGAGGCTTAAAATAACATTGATGGATTTTGACACTTTCCCCATTGAAATGAGGCTTAAAATAACACTGTGTCTTAATTAGGCATTGTTACGTATGATGCACAAGGTATTAATTCTTTTGCAATTTTTTCTAGGTTAAAAATTGAATGGCTGGACTATAAATGTCACACTTGTAACTAAATATCGTACCATTGTCGCTAAATGTCACAACCGCCGCTAAATGTCTGTTAATATTTTGCCATTAAATGTCGCACCATTTTCCTATACCGTAAAATGTCAAAATACTATCGTTTTGTAAAAGTTTTCTTCGATGCACCTTTCACATGCATAACTTTTATATCTTGAAAAAATATAAACTACAGTAACATAGACATTGAGGCAGATCGAAAACTGTATAACATTGAATGAGCTTAGATCAATAGCAATTGTGTACATATGACTTTTGTTAACAAAACTGCACCTTTACCTTGCTGGAACCTAAAAGATTTTACCATATAGAGTTACATGTACATGTATGGCAGGCTGCACCGGCTCTGTACTTATAGCTGACTAAATTTTGAAATGGCTACATTGATTTTACTAGACTGATAGATGGAAGCTTGTAAAGTGAATAACAAATTCAGCAGGTTAGATAAGACTTGCAAATGTGTACAGTATTACCAGTGTCAGAATTGTCGACTGGTTAAGTTTAATCTATTTTTTTCTTGCTGCCCATCACATTACCTTTTCCATTACAAGTAGTATAAGTCGAATATAGAAATCAAATACGTACTTTGGCAAAAATGCCCCTAGGCTAACCGTTATTACTTGAAAACAAAGTGTGAAAAATGTCTCCAATATTTAATGCATATAAAACGTTTTTGAAACGTTCACGTTTTGCAAAATTAAAACAATTCCGTCATATACATAAAATGAAAAGTAGAAAACACTTAAAACTCAAAATTGTCCAAAAAATCAAATATGATCTTTTTAAAATTTCAAAGCGGACTTAAAAGGAAGTAAACTGATACCCGATTGGTTTGCATAACTTTTGTTGTATATAAACCGATTTTAAAACGTATAAAAATTAGCCTCCTTATCAATAACAATAAGGCAAAGGCATAATTTTAAAGTCTACCCTTTTTCAAAAGGGTGGACAACTATTTGTCCCTTTCTTGTAATAGAAGGGGAATCCTGTGATGCGTGTATGTGGTCGCACGGTCACTTTCCTTACATGTCCTCGATGCATGTATGTGGTCGCATGGTCGAAAATCTCTAACGTTTTAATGGTACTCTACCGTCTGGTGCAAACTCTTAATGTTCTAAAATCTAATTCTGACTTTGCATTTCGTTTTTGTTCTTGGTATAAAAAAGCCAAAAGAAAGTTCAAAACTAGGGTTTTATATGTAGTCTTTACAAGTTCCTCCCAATTCAGATTTTATTTCTCAACTCCTAATAATGTTTTTAATTCTCCTAATTAAGCTTAAAAGACTTATAAAATTAAAATTACAAAATTGTCATTAGGTTTATTTCCCCTGATAATAAGTATTCTTATTTAGTTGTAACTAGAGGTAACAAATTATAGTAAGGTTTTTTCATATTTCCTATTTAGGAGTCAAAGTCCTAATTAGGTTTTTATACATTTGTAGCCTTTAGTTAAAAGTGAGAAAATACTTACTAGTCTTTTGAAACTCTTAAACAGAAGTAACGTCTAAAACTCCTTATTACGATTTCAGCAGTTTGTTTTTGTACGAATATTAAGATTTTTGCATCAGACTGTTCCCTACCAAAACACCATTGACAACGTTGTCATTATATTAGAGATTTTCGACCATGCGACCACATACATGCTTCGAAAACATGTAAGGAAAGTGTCCGTGCGACCACATACACGTATCACAAGATTCCCAAGAATGGGACAAAGAGTTGTCGGCCTTTGTTGTTAAAGGGCATACTTTAAAATATGCCATTTTATTATTGTAATCGAGAAGGAGGCTAATTTTCAGAAATATGTCTTGAATTGGTTTATATACAACAATAGTAACGTAAACCAAGTGGTGTATCAGGTAACGCCCCTTTTATGTCCGTTATGAAATTGCAAAATGATCATATATAATTTCTTGTTTATAGTGTTTTCGACTTTCGTTGATGTATATAATAGAATTATTCTAATTTTGCAAAGCATGAAAGTTTAAAACGCGTTTTACATGTATTTAATATTGGAGATATATTTCTCTTGGTTACTAAATGAAAAACGTACACAAATGTGTTTTATCACCGAGGAGCTCTTTGGCATAAATTGTGATCGTCAATTTGTCAATCGTCAACTGACTGCGATGATTTCAATTTCAAACAATTACTTTGTATATAACGACAAATCATTTCCTATCTAATAGATTACTTACTAGTCCCTAGATCACCTACATAACGTTAATATTGTCATAATACGAGTTGATGAACATGAATTTAGATATTGCGATATTTAATGGTAAGGGAAAAAGGTGCGACATTTACCGGTAGTGATCCAACATTTAACAGCTAAATATCTTGAGACATCTTGCGGCGTCATTTACCGGCAATAGTGCGACATTTAGCGGCAAGTGCGATACGATGTGCGATATTGAGCTTCGTTGCGTTGCGACACATTTCGGCACCACACACTGTTTTTTCAATACCACGTTACTATATTACTAAATTTAAATGTAATGTTTATCAATATTGCTTCAATTTTTAGGAGCAGTATATGTATTTACATAAATGCCTTGTGGAAGCTCTAGTACTTCCGTCAAAACCCGTGCACATTGATGACTTTCCAAGCGTCTACCGTGAGCTTCTTGACATAGATCCAAACACAGGAAAAACTAAGCTCCTTTTACAATATGAGGTAATCGTTTAATAAACCTTGCAGATTTATATGTTGAATTATCTTTTAAAATTGAGTATTTCTACCTTTCTAAGAAAAACAATAACCTCTCAAGTATTTCATGTATGATAATTGGTAGTCACTGGTAGCGTTTAACTAAGTCATTTTTATAAATTATGATAAAATTTGAAAACTACTGTTGTTGGTTTTGAAGCAAATAGAGGTATAAAACTTCTCCAAAATATTTCAACTGAGTTCTTGAAATGTAAGCATTTTGATTGTTACTTAAATGTGTTTTTCTCCAGTTTTTATGGGTTATTTACGTATTTGATTTTAAATATATGAAAATGTTTATTTCAGTCATTGCTAGGTGAAACAGACAGCGGAAGCGGAAGTAGATCTGATGAATTTGAGGACAAGTACTCCTCGGCTAAAGTTGCAGTAAATAGGAATAAAAATAGATACAGCAATATACTGGCGTGTAAATAAATCATTTCATCGTTCATAGATATCGTATTAGAACAAAAAGTAGTAAATTACTGTCTGATAAGTTTAATTTTTAAATCCAGAATCGCTAATGAATTTAATTGAATAAATTGACCAGATTCTTGACATGACTATTTTTTTATAAGATATTATTTTATTAATGATAACGTTAATCGTGAACCATCAGTAAAGCAACGGCACCATATCGCTATCTAGATCACATTTCTTTCTACATCAAAAGACCGCAAGACGACATAAAATATCCCACAAAACTCCAAAGCAATCGACCCGCCAATTTTAATATTAATCTTGTAAAGTTGAAAGATGTGATAAGCGTCTACATGCCCCAGAATGGTTTAAATTTGACAACTTGGCGATTGAAATAAACCAATCGGAATATTTGTTTCACGATTTTTTGTATATAATATTTAATGATGTACGTTTCAGCCAATGACTGTCGTCCATTTTTGTGCACCAAAGTGCAGGGCTGTTCAGATTATATCAATGCCGTGTGGATACCAGTAAGTCACTTATATTTATCATTGATTTACATGTCATCATCATAGTTTTATATCTATTTCTAGCGTCTTGTCCAGCTTTGTACTGTGTCCAAAATGAACTCAACAAAGTATATACGTATATGTGATACATGTTTTAAAATATATGAAATCAATGTATTATTTCCACAGGCCATGATCAAGACAAATACGTAACGTTTGGAGATATTTCAAAATCTTAAAACACTTTGAATTCTGTATAAATGCATTAACATCCAATATTTAGATATTGCTTTTGACATGTGTAAAAATTAAATATACGTTACAATAATATGCATGTAAATTACATTGAACTGATATTTATTTAGCTGCCTTCTACTTCAGAGTTATCGTGATCCTTACGGGTATATTTTAACACAGACACCGCTTGAGAATACGGCCGTAGATTGTTGCCGCCTTATTCTTGAACAAGAGGTCTATGCCATTATAGCGTTTGAGGAAACATTAGATGACACGGTGAGTATATTCAAAATACACCCAAACAAGACAAAATACCACTTAAATAAAGATGCTCTTATAAAATAGGAAAACATCTATAATGATATCATATTTCAGAAATGAAATAATTAAATTAAACTATGTAATAAATCATTTTAATCTATTCATTATTACATTTACAATGTATCAGTGTCTGGGATCGGAATATTGATCATTATGTTCACCTTCAGTCTGTCCGTATGTTGTACATAAAAAATTTAAACCTGAAATGAAAACAAAATCAGCATATACGAATTTTGAATTAAGATATTTTCTTTCGGATCATTTGTTTTATATGTTTTGTTTCACACTAGATCGGTCAGTATTTACCAAACAGTGGATCTTTAGATGTGGGACCATTTACTATAACATTGATATCAGAGGAAGACAATGATGGCCATTATATGTCAAATACTTACAAGATGAAATATGATTCAAAGGTATGTACATATATGTAATATTGTAAAATCAAAGGACTTTCCAAAAACCAACAAAAGGAATATCTACATCTACATCTACATCATACTGCTTAACAATCAATTCTGATTATGACTAGCAGGCGCGTTGTCAGGGAACTGTTAATAAAAGAATTTATTTATATGCAAATTAAAAAGTTAAAAGAATAAAAGTTCTACAAGACTATTAATTTAAAAACATAGTGTGCAGTTTAGAATTTATAGAATGGGTCAAGCCTCTCAGTAAAGATGTTTAAACTGGGGCTAGACTGAACAGTTAGGGGAAGGCTATTCCAAAGACGTATGCTCCTAGGAAAGAAAGAATTTTGATGATATTGTGTCCTCGAGTAGGGTATCAGGTAGTTCAGATTTCTTGTTTGAGTAAGGTGTTGGTGGTCAACAAAAACACTATTGTTTTGGATTTTATACAAGTAGGTTACAGCATTGATGTTTCGACGCTGTTCAAGGGTTTGCCAATTAAGATCATTTTTGAGACACTACTTGTATAGTCATAATCATTAAAAATGTATCTAGCAGCTGATCTTTTTACTTGCTCTATCTTATAAATTAAGTTTTTCTGCCAAGGATGCCAAACTATGGAGCAATATTCAACCTGAGGTCTAACATAGGTCTTATATGCAGTTTCTTTTATCTTTTTATTTGGAGTTTTAACATTTCTTCAATGAATCTGAGGGAGTTATTTGCTTTAGATGTGATGTTGTTTATATGTTTGGTCCATGAAAGGTCTTGACTAATAGTGACTCCTAAGTATTTTGCTTCTTGAGTTGAGTTTAGTTGGATGTTATGGAGGGTATAAGGAAATATTACAGGGTTTCTTTTTCTTGTTATCCTGAGAACTTCACATTTGTCAGGGTTGAATTCCATGGACCAGTCTTTTTCCCATTTTTCTAAAGCATGAAGGTCATCTTGGAGGGTTTGGGCATCTTGTTTAGATCTAATGGTTAGGTAGACAACAGTATCATCTGCAAAGAGTCTAACCTTACCTTTGACACTATCTGGGAGGTCATTTATGTAAGAAAGGAAAAGACAGGGACCTAATATCGAGCCTTGGGGGACACCTGAGAGAACTGGTAGAATTCCTGATTTTTGACCTTCAACAACAACTTGCTGGGAGCGTGACTTAAGGAAGGAATGGACCCAATTTGTAACCTCATAACTTATACCCAATCTTTCTAGTATATCCTAGTATAACTTGAAGACTATATTATTATACACTATTCTGTTCCATTATAGTTCTCCAATTCTCCGGTTTTTTTTATAAAACATTTATACGAGTTAACTTGGATGATATTTTTAGAATTTCTTACCCCAGGATGTTAAGTTACTTCTTTCATTTATAAAAGTTAACGTTTTTTTCTGACGTGGGTCATCTATGCCAAATGTCCATATTAATTTTACAAATTAGAAATATTTGATGATATTCAATTAGATCAGATTTCATTTGATATTCTCTGGCAGATAAAGGCTAATTTGATACTTGTAAGACAAAAAAGGTGCAAAAAATGACAACTTTTAAGTTGTTTCTATATAACAGTGTATGTCCATCGATTAAAACTACTAATTATAGCGACATATTTACTTGCAATTGATTATTTTTCTAGGAACACGTGTTTCTGATGTTGCTATACAAACAATGGCCGCCTTCACGTGCTGTTCCAGACGATCCGTACAAAATGATAGCATTTTTACAAGATATTGAATGTGTTCAGAGACAAGCTGGAAACAAACCCATTCTTTTGCAGTGTTTGTAAGTAATGGTTGTACCACTTTTTCAAGCAATGATACCTCCAGTTTCTACTTAATAAGCAGAATGCATTGTTACCGATCTGGGCCTTAAAATGACTCCACTGAGGTTTTTTGACATGATGGGACTAAAAATATTTTTCCCAGATAAATGTACCATTTGTTTCATGTAGTGAAATGATCAATGTTAAATATACTTAAAACATTCGTTAAACTGTTTTCTATTTAGGAATGGAGCGGAGCGCAGTGGTTTGCTGGTCGTTTTGCTTAACATTATGGAACGTATTGCATGCACTGGCGAAGTATCGATTCCACAGGTGTTACGTCAACTACAAATTAGACGTCAACAAATCATTCCCAATTTTGTAAGATTATTTTCTTTCATGCCTTATAAAGAAGCATAGATTAGATTCTGTATTAAAAATTTTATATACTCACTACATACTTAAGTAAGTGAAATAGTCAGGTAAAAACTAGTTTTCCTTCGAAATATTTCTATGCATCTAAATGCTCATCACTAACAAAAATATATTTATTTATCGAAAATAATTGAACAGTTATTATTTTTGTTACAATCAAAACTATATAATTATATGAAGGTGTCTGCTTTGGTCTGGAAATCATTCACTTATATATAATTGTTTTAAAATAACTAAACCATTTCTTTGATTTCCATTTTTATTTTCAGGAACAATTTAAGTTTTGCTACAGTGTGTTGAAGACTTATGCAGAAAGCAATGCAACTTATGCTAATATGTAAATCATACCGGAAGTGATGTAATTGACAATGCGATGTCTATATTGATAAAAATATGAAAAGACCAATAACTTTGTGCTGCATTTTGACTAAATGATGTTCCTTTTAGAAAATTCTGCATATTTAAAATTATGTATATTTTTGTGTGAAAGTTGTATCTCCAGTCACAGAATTTTAGCCGAAACTTTGTACATGTGTTAGATACGAAAATATTATTTACCAATACCCATTCAAGGTAATGCATTTGATTGAAATATGCCTCATTTCAGAGTAAATGCTTGATTTGAACTATCAAGCATTGATAATAGTGCAGGCATGTTGTCGCTCTAACAGCTCATTTCATGAGTTGTATTCTTGAATTATGTTAAATTAAAAATGAAATATACTGTATAATGTTAAAATAAATAAATTTCAAAAATACTTCATTAGCTTTGTTTGTAGTTACAATATGCTGTACATGTATTTCCTTAGTTGTTTTGATCTTACCTGAACATAAACAGTAAACACGTAATGCATTTAAAATTGAAATATGTGACATGTTTATCAGGAACGCTTTGAAAACAGCAGACGTGGGTCTGGAAACATGGTGCAAGTTCCAGTTTGAAACACCAAACGTGTTTACTGTACATGTTCAGGTGTTCCCATACTGTAACATTATAAGTGTTCGGCTATGAAACATGTCACATGTTTCAGTTTGAGACACCAGGAAGAGTTTAAAACAGGAACATTTGTGCATCTATTCGTGAACATGTGACGTGTTCCATTCTATCGTGTTTCCAAAGTGTAACAGGAAAAGTGTTTTGAAATGTGTTTAAAACTTAAACGCCCGTTTTTGCAGTGTATGCTGTGATTTCCTTAACATTTTCCCTTTTTCCATTATACTTTTTCTACGTTTTCGACAGTTTCTTGACTTACTATTAACACAATGTTTTATTGATCGAATTTCTTAACGTTCCGACGGCATCATTTTAACACGCGTTTTTCTTCTACAAGTGACACATGAATTGTGATTGCAACGATAAATGTGGTTTGAATGAAGTCATTTTGTCTGACAACGTCAAATATGGCATATGACATTTCGGCGTATTTTGAAATGTTATTGTGCCATATTGTAAAATATACGTTTCATAAGGCGCCTTTTGTCAGCACAAATTTATGCCCTGCTACGGGTGTGCGTGGACATGATTTTTTAAAACTTTTCCCTTCTATTAGCGTGTTTCGACGGCTTTTTGCCCCCCCCCCTTTTTTGAGGCCTCAAACAGTGCAAAAATGCCCTATTTAGGCTAAAACACTGTTTTGCGTTTGAGCAATGATTGCTTTTAAAAAGTGATCATTTTTTCGGCACCGTCCCCCATCCAAATGTTAAATCACGGGGTTGCCTTCTGGTTGGGGGTTTGAAGAAACCAATAAATCGCCAAGAAAATTTTGGACATGTGACAGGCTAAAATGGCCTCAGGTCGATCTTGGGGTAACTTGTAACCGACGCTGAAAAGCCTTTTACTCTATCTCAATTCATTGAAAAGTTGCAGCACTTTGAAATCATTTTTGATGGAAAAAAGCGATGCAAAATAGTGATTTTTGGCAATTTTGAGACGTCCCCCCGTTGCAATGGTAACAGGAAATTTACAATTGAGCTACTGTTACAGAGGCTATGGTCTAGTCAACATTTGTGCCAAGTTTCATCAGTATTGAAGCATTTTTCATAGTTTCATAGCAGTTTGAACTTGTAACAGGAGGCTTTTCAATGAAAACGGCCATTTTTCGTACAATGCTCATGGGGTAAAATGTTAATTAAGAAAATAAAAATGTCAAAAAAAAACCAACAATTTTTTTCACCAAAATTAGATGTAAGGGCACGTGTTAGCATGGTAAACTAGTTTTTGGGTAATTCCAAGGTTTTCCATCATTTTTTTTTAATTCGCTGCGATATCTAATGAGACATAGCATCAGTTAACAGATATAGTTTTCCGATTAATTGTGTTATATATAGAGAATAATAGGTTGGTGCCGTGGATGGAGAAAGTTTATCTGGCGAGGCGGAGGAATTTTTTGTTTTTTTTTAAAGAATTTTATTAAGCAAACTACCTTTAATCACACTATCGGAAATGTTTCTATATAAACAAAGAAGAACCGAAGCGTGCATTATTCTACAACAATGCACTCGCCGTTCTTATTATCTCCCTGTGTATTTTCACATTGAGGGCGCCATTTTGTTTGAAAATATGATAAATAAAAACAATTTTTTGTCGAATTTTGTTGTGAAAACTATCTAGAATGAAAGAAAATGGTCTAACTAAGAAAATGAATTCGAACACCAATATCTTTTATTCAGTCGTTAACGCTGCACAGACGTTTAAAGTATTGTTTACGTGACGTCACAATACAGCGTCAAACAGCACGTGCAAAACAATCAAATCAAGTACGCTATTTTAATGTCGCAAAAGAGTTAAGTTTTACACTTATTTCACTTTTAATAATTTTTATTTCGCTTGAAAAATTATAGAGTAAAATAAAATAAACAAAGTTTTTTCAACGTTTCCAAAATTTGTTATTCTACACACAGAAGATTTAACGACAGTTTTATATTTTTCTTAAAAAGTAGTCCGCAAACAAGCATACCACGTGATCAAGTGCCGTAGATCAGTAAAAATATACGGCATCTTGTTATCGGGCCGAAATTGATACAAGTGACAGGATAAAACAATAAGTGATAGTTTGAAAGTCCTTCAATTGACAGTCCCAGTTCGGTTTATTTTTTATCATCACTCGTATGTCCTGAAGACTTTAAAATCTTTTTCCATTTTTAGACATACATATTTATTTATAAGGAGGATTAAGCATATGTACTTTTTACGAGTGGCATTCAAAGTGACACTGATCATTTCCACTACACTATAGTCTAGATTAATCAAGATCGATCAGAAATTCGCGATTAATTTATAGGCGGGACTTAATATGCTAAATGTTCTATCCGATGATTCAAATTATCGAATAAATATTTTTCAGTGTAACTACAAAAAAAAATTTCAATCATACAATATATACTTTTAAATATAAAACATATAATTATATAGAAAAATATCGCACACAAAAAAGAATTATGATGAACAAGTATTCAGCAGGATTGAATAATATTATGGTAAAGAATATAAAATTAGAGTTATACATAAAAAGATTTATTGAATTTGGCAACGTTTAATATGCCATATACCAATTACTTTTATTTCATGGTCTATCCGATATAAGTAACTCATGAGAAAATATGGTCGTGTTCAAAGAAGGGCTAAAATCAAAGACCTTTGGGTTGCAATGCAAACAAATTTACCACGTGGTCACTACGACAAATTTTTGTTTCGTACTCACAGCTACTTACATTAGGAAAGTAGACTCAATTAGTTTAAATTGATATATGTATTGATATATCGTTGTAAGTATGGTTAAGCATATCTATAAGTCCATTTTGTAGTTAATTTTTTTCGACTATTCGCATGAACTTGACTCGACAGTGATCAGACTTAAAGTGTATATTACTATGTAAACATAAAAAAGAAAGAGACGCTGGGAAGAGTCATCTCTAAAATACATATTTGAAAGTGTATCCATTTCTTTGAAAACTGATTTGATCTTATCATACCTCTGAAAATTGACTTACTTTAAATATCCTTTGGTTTGTCTGAGGCTGCCATTTTCATCATTGCTTGCTTTGCTTTCTGACTGTTTGAAAAGGAATTCGTCTAGAGGCGTCTTGAAACTTATAAAGTCGACACATAAAATTTCAAGCATAACACGATACGATATTACGGAAATGTGACACAGCATAACAATTGGATATGGAACATTATAATTGAAAAGAAACAAATGTTTCTATTTCTTTTCCCAAACAATCGGCTACGACATTAAAATGTATCTGCCATACCTTTTGTTAAATTTTCAAAGCTTGCATCGTTTTAATTCGTTTCACATTGTCTTATCACATGTAGCATTATCATATATCGTGTCGCATTGTCTTTTTTTCTTATCATTCATTGCGTCTGTTTGTAAAATATAAATCAAACGAATATCGTGCAACACAAAAGTAAAACATGCCAATGCAATACGAAATATTGCAATTTATGAAGACATTGTGCAGCAAAACATTTTCTTCAATCTATTAATCCGTAAGTAAAATTGGTCATGTTAAACTGTATGTTTTTTAAAACTTTGTAGTAAATTTAATCTGTTGAATTTAAATACCTAACCATTGACTTGTACTTCCTGAAATGTATATACAGTTTACAAATGCTTATTATATGCAAATATTTCACATGATGTATGGACATAACATTTTGGTAAGTAATAATTTTTTATAAATTAACAAAGCTCAGAGTTTTATGAGAAATCATTAAAATAACATTCTTGCTTAAAACGTTCCTGTTAGATACAAATAACATATATTTTCCAAGATATATTTTCTCTTTTTTCTGAACCTTTTTTTTCAATTTTTTGAAATCGTTCCATTGTATCTCTTTTTCTTTTCCCGTTATGATTGCAGACATTTTTCTTTGTGGCGATATTTTTAATGATAACGTGAGTGCTGTCACAAATACCTGCAAGCATATCCGGCAAAGACAGGTTTTATTTGCGTTACATAGATCTGCATTATTTATTTGATCGTATTAAACTTTGTAAACGTTTGTTTTCTTTCAGTTGTCTGTTTGTATACTCTGCCATGTCCTCCACGGTACACTATCACAAGGTATGCATTTTTTTTAAATACTTCTTTTGAAAATAATTGATGTTTACTTTAGTTATACCGATACCTTTTGTCAGTATTGTTATTGTAAATCAGGAAAGCATTTCACAAAAAATGTAGTTTAAATACAGGAAGTAAAAATCGTACTAGGTTACTTTATCATGCTATATGTATTAGCGTTATGAATAATATATAACTTCTGAAATTCATCAAAATGTTTGAAGTTTTGATATTTTTCGTATCAAGAATACCGCAAAAATCTCAACTAGTACGAATTAAGTTAGGCCACTTCTAATGGGCACGATAAGGAACTGTAAAATTGACATATATATTGGAATATTCTTTCACTCTGCTCTCAATCTAACAGAAAAGTTGAAAATTCATTCGATCTGAAATAGATGAATTAACAATACATTAAACAAATTTAAAATATCTATATATTGAACTTTGAGCAATGTGCGTTATTTCATGTTTATAGCTCTTATGTTGGTACAACATGTACAGCTCGAACTCGTTATTCCTTTCATTATCTGTGACAAAAAGGGGTGTCGATAGTTTTATATAAAGGGATATTATTTATCACCTAAATTTTCAATCACCTGAACAATAACTCATATTGTATCATAATGCATAATAGTAGTGGTTGAATGTCTACTTCGTCAATGTAAAGACCCTGGTTCGATTCCTGGAAAAAGAGTCTTTTTTCTAATATTTTTTTGTCTTTAGATGTGAATTTCTTTCACACAAAACTTTTGAGAAATTTAGTTTTACACACATTCGCTTTAACCTGGTTAATTTAGAGGCAACGCAGTCGTGATTAGTATGATAAATGGGCAATGGAAGAAATCTAAATGTATTAATATACAAATGAATGTATTCAGAGGACATTTAACTGCAGTTGCAACATAGTGCATGAGCTTGTCTGTCGCTTTAGGCTCACAGGTGATGTGCATTATCGTTCTAGGTCAGGTAGACCAAGAACAACTAGCCAACGGGACGATCAGTACATCGTTAGGCGCACTTATTTCACAGATTTTAATTTGCGTCGTTGACGGCACCAGACATTTTTTAAACTTATCTCCCGTTATGAAAATGATTGAATATGAAAACCTGCTAACAAAGTAAGCAACTGACGAAATTTACTTAAAGGGATATGTGTCTACTTGAGCTTTTGTTAAAAATACTAAAATGATTACACAATTAAAATTAAAATCGTTTTTCTTTCACAGTGCATCTATAATCATATTTGACTGTAATGTTAAACATTACCAGGATCTATATAATGATTCTATTAATTCTTTTTGCAAGATCTTTTATATAATTATCTCACACATATCTTTGCAAAATAAGTAGAAATTAAGATTTAAATTATGCCTATTCCTGGTTTATTTGTTTTGAACAAAGATGTGTATGCTACACTACGCATGAAACCTAAGAATGTATATATTAGTAATATACGTACTACATATAAAAGAATGAATGACATAACACTTTAAACAAAAATTAGATTCATTTACTATAATACGATCATTTCCTGACACTGTTTAGTGTAATGGGCTTTACATCATGTATTTGTTCTCCAAATTATGTACCAGAAAAAGAGAAAGGTTTCTAACAAGTTATGCGTATCATTTAAGAGGAAATATCATCATAACAAATTAGCTTGTTTCCAATCAAAGCTTTAATATTTTCAAATTATATTTTGTTGTACAATTAATTAAATCATATAGATCTACAGTTTGTGTAACATTTTGATATTAATTTGACAATTTATTTTAATTTCTGTTTTTCTGCAAACAGAATTGACAATCACAAATTTCAAGGTCACTTAGGCAAGAACTGACAATGCTTGGATGTTTAGAAAAGATAGTCATCAGTTATATTTCATCTTTGAAAAAAAAATACCGTGTCTCTTGTAATTTTCTTCTTCTTGATTGCATCTACTGAACGCAGAATAAGTAAGGCGTAAATAATTATTAACACATATGAAGTAAAGAAAAAAACAACAATTTATCTACAGCTTCCAAACTTTATTTGGAGATTTAAGAAGATGGCAAAATGTGTTAAAATAATTTTAATACATATACGGCACAGATCTATAAATACGAAAAGAAAAAATCACTGTTAGCTTATATATAACCAATTACATTTATAAATCATTTTAAATCCTTATCAGTGGTGTTCTTGGAAATATATTTATATATGTTTACATATACATAAACATGATTGTAATGAGCCACGGCTTATTCTTTCAAATTAATAAGATGTGTGAACGAGACAAAGGTCAATTCGCCAGTAGGTACAAAGTTTCCATTTGAAATTACTTTCCCCTGTGTGATTTCAAAACGAGAGCGTGTAAACGTTGGGGGATTCCGTCCTTTCGCGCATCCGAAAAAATACTTACATGTAAGGCTTGTAATAATACCACATGTGTTCAAGAGACGTAAGCAATACGATGAAAACTTGTTTAGACATCAGAAGTGTGCCCTATATTGCCATTTTAAATGAATTTATGTCCTTAACGTGCAAAATATTATACAACAATTTAATTTAATGTTGACGGAACTGGGTAATAGTAGCAGTGTTTAGTCCACGTTATTTTTTGATGAATGACATATCTATGTACCTCTGGAAAAATGGGACTAATATTACAACATCATATTATTAATATGGGTTACGGGAACTACTTCACTCCGTAGAATATAAAGCAATTCTAGTCTCTTGAATTTGCTGAGTTTTGTTATTAATGGCAATAGCTTTGTTGTTTTTGAATGGATTGTCTTCAAACTGTTTGGTAACATGCTAAACCATCAAATAAACCAACATACTTGACCTTCACTCATAAATGATCTTGACCTTCCAGGTCAAATGTTTGGATTTGTTTTCTTGTAACTGGCTACAGTATTGTTATGAATCAATTGATTGACTTCATATAAATACACAAGAATTTCATGCAACTATATCAGACTCAAATATACCCTTACCCATTTTTGACTTTTGCCTTTAAGTTTTAATTATTAAATTTTCACTGATTTTCTTTTTGCTATTATAATTGACTGTACCTTGGTAGTTAACAAATGGTTTATCTTCATATTTGGACAAAACAACCTTTTTGTCAATATCTTATTAAAAGTTGAACTGAGCTAGACCTGGAGCTTCAAATGACATTGACCGCATTGGATTTTGGTAAAATTGTCATAATCATGTTATTATGTACGGATTTGATTCATACAAATCAAGAATTTCTTCCAAAATAAAAACATATCTAATAATTCACACGTGTCCTTTACCTTGAACCCTCCATGACTCTCATGTTTTGATAATTGAATTTTGGTTAAATTGTCATTTTTTCTTATGTTCCGATTTGATCTATACTTGGACCAAAAAAGACTTTAACAAAACAGACATATTGAATAATTCAGATGTCACATGGCCTGTTAATTGACCTTGACCGTCAAATTATTGAAATTCTCGTTTTTTCATCCTTTAGCAACGAGATTTTGACCATGCTCATGTTATGATGTAATATTGAACTTTGATATAGGCTGACATAGACTTCGATGAAGTGACCCACTTTTGAACATTGATGTCAGTTAATAATTGATAATTTTAGTGACCTTTGATGTAAAGATATGGAATTTAAACCATGTACACCGTTTCAGATGTAAAACTGAATTTTGATATATGCTGACCGAGATTTTGATAAAAATGACCACTTATTTTCTTTTAGTTTGATATACAGCTATGACCTTTGAATGACCATGTGTATTTCAGATTTCAGATGTAAAATTGAACGTTGGTATCCGCTAACTTAGAGTTTGATGAATTGACCTACTTTTGTGTCCTTTGATGTACATCTATGACATTTGGTCTATGTGCATAGTTTCAGATATTAAATTAAACTTTGATAACAGCTGACCTAGATAATTTTACGAAATGACCTTCTTCCTTGTCTTTAATATACAGCTATAAAATTTGGATCATGTGCGTAGGTTCAGATGTAAAATTTGACATTGATATCAGTTTACCAGGACAACTTCATGAAACGACCTATTTTCTTTTCTTTTGATGTACAGCTATGAAAATTGTGTATAGTTTAATTAAACTTTGATATAAGCTGATCAAGATAATTTGACAAATTGACCTATCTTATTTACCTAAGATATTCATCTATCAAACTTAAATTTGAACAATTCGTTCAGGTTCTAATGTTATATTTAACATTGAACATAATGAAAAAAGATTCATACTCGGACAAAACCACAAGCCTAACTAGACTTACTTGTTAAGGATTAAATAAGAAAAATACCTTTTTTTTTATTTTTCTAACATTTGTATAAAAAATTCTAATTTATTTGCTTTTAGGAAAAGTAGAAAGGTTGAGCGTTTCCGTGCCCAACAGTGCATCTTGTTAGTCCCTAACCGGTTTACCTTCCGTCCGTCTGTTCGTCCACTCACAAAACTGGATCCCATGATAACGTAAAAAATAACAGAAAATACTGATCATAATTTGAGATATTGGTAGATGGCAGTTTCGAGATTAAGCACATATCTTTATGTTCAAAATTTGGTTGCTATGGCAACAGATATACTAAAATATAGCTAAAATAACAAATAACAGCATTTATGATGACTCAAAATACTGAAAAAGTTTATATGAAACTAGAAATATGGATAGATTGGCAGTATGGAGATTTTACACATCATTTTAAACTCGACTATGGGCATAGATAAAGTATTGAAAGCTGTCCTACTCGCACAGCATCGGCAACTGCGTCCATATTTCTGATTAAACGTTTTACACAGTACAATCTTTTTCACTATAAGTTCTTTATTTCCTATGGTATTTACTTTAAACTTCAAATATATGTTTTTGATTATCAATTAAATATATGACAAGATTCACAAATTATTAGACAAGGTTCACAAGTTTATCAGTATAACCGCCTTGAATTTAAAAGTTTCGTAAAAATGTTGTTGTTATAACTTTGTAAGCATCTCTG